GATATAGATTAAAAATCAAACAACATTATTAAATCGAATATACAGGGTGGGCCAAAAAAACGCCACTTTTTTTTCAAATGCTATAACTTTTTTATTTTTTGATACAAAATCATAATTTACATACCAAATGAAACTTGAGGTTGTTATCTAGTCATTGATCATGAATTATACACTTTTACTTGAATAAAATATGTCACCAGTGTCTCACTTAACCATGTGGTGTGCCATGAGAAATAAGCATAATTTGCATAATGTTCCTAAACTGATACGCCCTGATGACCGCAAGCTAATAGCCCTAATTCAAACCCAAGTGAGTATAGGGTATGGGGAGGTCTCCAGGAGATGGTATGAAGGCACCCAATCTAAAAAATTGCTTAACTAAAGCTGGCAATTAAGACACGTTGAAAAAAATATAGCTAACATTTCATTGATACTGCTATATCAGCAAGGCGACTAAAACTAAAATCTATCATCAAATGGGCTGGCGGACCAATTGAACTCCTCTTTTAGATCAAATATAATCCCACACATTATATTATTACTAAGAACCCTTGGCACTATATAACTGCAAAATTTGGGGTATGTAGGTTGGAAAATAAAAAAGTTATAGTGGCTTGAAAAAAAAAGTGGCGTTTTTTTGGCCCACCCTGTATATACGATAATAATATATTAAATCGCATTCAGAGTGAAACTGGCCAGAAATTGAAGTATCGAATATTTGAAAAATACGTTTTTCGTTATTTTTGTAACTTGCTGAGTCGACCCTCTGTATTCTTTCGACTTCACTTAACTAGACTCTGGGCGCAGGGTTAGCGACATCATTGAGTGGTTAATATCCCCGGGGGTTTTATTGTATACAAAATTCGGCGGGGGCCTAGGCTGAACCTTCAGATCTCAATGTGTTCCCATACCATTCTTTCAATTTTCAATATGTCCCAATACCAACCAAAATAACGCCAAAAAGCCATACCAAATGTCCAAATATAAGACCAATGCGATACCAAATGTGACATGTCTAAATACAGGACCAATATCCAGATGTAAGACCAAGGCCATTCAAAATGTCTAAAGCCCCGAGAAGAAGGCAGGTCTTTGAAGAAAACGATCGAAAACAACCCCTATTAAGGATACGTGTAACTACTGTACTAGACCAATGCTATACCACAAGTCTGAGGTGACATATTTTCCATGACCATTCTCATACCAGAAAGTGGAAAATCTGACCATTGCTATACCTCAAGTCATAATTTAAGGGGGCATTTTCATACCACATCCTAAAATGTGGGTTCATTGCCATACCAAATGTCAAAAGAGGTATCCCATGTGAGCCAAGGATACCCGTCCAGGTTTATATATACTGTAGTTGACCCCCGGGTAAATACCATAACAACAGAATTAGAACATGCCGTTTTTATTCTTCTGATCCCTCGGAGGACGCATTTACTAGTATACGAAGTAGGCTAGATGCGAGTAGGTAATTACCATTTTCACCACAAGGTTTTATTTCGGGTCAGATAACATGGCAGGGTATTAGAAAATTCCCTTCAACTTGGATATTCATCAGTTTTAGTGGTTCGTTTTTCATGTTACCCTTGTGCATCTAATACTTTCAGAAATAAGAATATGTCCACTAAAAAATATTACTAGCATAGAATCTGTCCAATTCAAGAAAACATGCCTTCGTGGAATTTAGTATCCAACCAATCAGATTGCTGGAATTTTATATAGTATGTGATAAAGAGTTTTTTGTTCTGGTGAATTTCATAACGTCTTGGTTGCTTCATGTTATGGCCTTTTAACGTTCTGGTCGCTGAAGTGAAGAATTCTCACTCGATTATTGGAGCCCTTGGATGTATATACTTGTGACTGATTCCCTATCAAGTAACCAGCTGCTACTATTGACATAAGGGTGAAATATTTGGATACAAAAAGACCTCCTTCTGTGTAAAATGGTGAAAATAAAAATTTAATTGACAGAAGTTCATCCATTTTGTTATATAGACCTTTATAACCAGAAGGGGACCAGTGACAACTGTGACCAAATGATTTTAACAAAAATGATTTCCAAGGATGATAAGTATTAAATCTTTCAATTTTATTAATAGTAAACCATAATATTTTGTCACAAATATATTTTACTAGACAATGAAAATGTCATATAAATAGCTAGTAAATAGATGTCATGAATGGAATATTACAATCCTATTTCAAAAATAAATTAACATACTGTATCTGAAATTATTGTCTGTAGAGCCCAAAAGATTTTAATCAAATATTTAACTTTGCAAGTACATACAAACATCAACTTCAAAAAATATTATGATTTGTAAGTTCAACAGGGGTCCATATCTCAAAATGTCAGTGTTAAATTTTGAGAAACAGGCCTCCGATACTAAACATTGTTCATTTCCGAAAAAACAAAACATACTTTAGTCGTAAATCAGGTGATGTAGCACAAAACAGAGACATATAAACAATATCATAATAAATAATATGTGTCTCTTACGAGATAAACATCTACTAAAATCTATGTCATATAAAAAATTTATTTTGTAAGGGCCTAGGTGGGTAGGAGGATTACCATTTCATTGGAAAATTAGAAAAAAATGATAATACAAATTGCCACTACATTTATGAGGTTCAACTGTTGAAGAGGGACATTCTTATATACATGCTGGACATATTTCTTATACCTTTGGCTGATTTGAAATAAACATGGCTTCAAGGCTCAACAAAGACTACACAAATGACGAAATTGTCACATTTTTACATACTTTATCTGACAATACAATACGTAAATGAAATTTTTTGTGCCAGCCTGATCTGATAAAGTTAAATTCAATGGATTATTTCTTGTTTAAATTGAGATTTCTATGTTTAAATCGTTAGTAGCATAAGTACCATTGTCTCTATTGTCTGACAAAACTAAGAAAGCATGCCTTGAACAAGTAATTTTTTAATGCATTTTTTCCTACCTAACAAGATCAGATATTACTGTTCCAACAAAAACAGAAATTATTTTGTGCAAAATGAGGGATAATTGACATCCTACCTGTAACTTTGATTCCCAAAATAAATTAGAATGCACCTTTTAAAGACAATGCCCATAAATGGCTATATTTACTGACATTAACTGTATTTACAGACACCAGCTAATTAGAACTGTAATAAAAACATGTATGTAATCATGGTACAGTACATAGATGTAGTTTTAATGTACATGTAATCATAGTACAGTTACTTTTGATGTACATGTAATCATAGTAGTGTACATATAAGTAGTTTTAACACAATTATGTAACTATTGTACAATACTTAAATGTAGTTTTAATTTTCTCATACTCAGTGATGCACCATTTAATTAGAATTTTTTTAATGCAACCGAGGTTAAGACGGTGAAGACCTCTGTAGAAGGCATATTTTGACATTTCATTTTGTATTGGTCATTATGGGTAACATCAAAATAAAACGTTCACTCAAATCAACTTAAAATACTTTGGAAAATGACTCTGCCATTAAGAGTAATATTAAATGCAAACCAGATCTCCAAGAATTGTATCCAACAACAACAGTATTGTATCTCAAATAATGTAACTAAAGTGTAAATTACATTTTTCTCTGAAATAAAAAGTAACAAGGCATTACTATGCAAAATGTCACCACCTGCCATTTGTTACAAATGCCGTAAGAGTTTGTTACAGACGCCAATAATTTGTGATAGACGCCAACCGCCAAACACCAACAGCCATCCACAAAAATAGAGACCGTAACAATAAGTCATTACATTCTGGTGGTGACATAAAAATGGGCATCACTTTCAACAGTGGTAGGGTACTTATACAAGAAATACATCTTTAGTATAAAGTTAAATGACAACTGACAAGTACACAATATAGTTCCACAACAATAGCTTTACCAGTTATATGTTACAAAACATCCAAAAATTTCTATAAATATTCAAATAAATATTATTTGGACCCTCTTTTGGCTGTTTGTTCTTGGGGTGGATCAATTTCAATAGAAGCAATGTAACTAGGTCTTGTTCAGATCAGATCTAACCATTTTGATTCCAAATTCCCTAATTTTTAAGAATTCGAGCCTGGGATCCCCTGATCCACTCTCTGTTTAAATTGACAAAAAGTTGGTATTAATTTAGTTATTCTCATGTAATATCCTTTCAGATTATGGTCCAATTTTTAATTTTTGAAAATCATATTCACATCTTTAAGTTTGAGCTAAAATATGCTAGTTTGGCTTAAAGTTGGTGCTCACTTCAATTTGGCAATTTGCAAATAGCGTAGAAAATAACCATTAGAAATCTTGGTCAATATAAACCCTGTCAGCAATGTTGTATTCTGGGTATGGCAAATTCTTTAAATCAAATCAGGGGCTAAATTGCCTAAAGTTACTTAATTAGTCTATTGTATTTTCAATGAACAGCCAAAAGTGGGCCATTACCCGTTCACAATAAAAATTGTTTCAAATTTTAAGAAATGGAATATCATACATATTTCACACTTTCCTCGCAAAAAGATGGACAGTCACCTAATGTGAAAGTTGTCCAAGTGGCCGTGTTTTGAAATGCAGAGTAGAAAAAAATTGAAAATGATAAGGAATAACATTAATAGATGCCTTATAATGCCACTACAAGTGTATTATATGTGATGTCATAAAAATACTCCATAAGTTGGTCAAATTTTGGAATTAATTAACAGAATAATCACTGTTGTCTAGCAGGCATAGGTATCTACAATTTTCAATGTATAATGTTAATTAGTGTTAAAAACAGTAACATGATTTTGATATAAAAGTTTTCGTTTAATTGCTAAAACTTCTTCAGGTAAAACTTCTCCAGGTGAATTTAAATGTGTATCAAAATCATTTTACTCCAATTTTCAATATATTTGACCTGACTCAGATCGATAACTAAGATTATCTTTTTGAGCTCCTCTACATTTCAAAACACATGTCCACAATGACAAGCTCACAACATCCTACTATTAACGCTTCTTTTTATACTTTTTTGGATTATATCCTTGTCCGAACCAGCCAGGAGTTGTTAAAACTGGTTCTGGTGTTTCTGCTTTCTCATCATCCTTGCTCTTTTTCTGGTTTTTAGCTCCGTTTGCCTTCCGCTTCCGATTAGATGTAACAGTCTGTTTCGCAGGAACCTCTCCTACACTAGTCTCTTTTCTATTTAGTTGTTTGTCACCATCAGAGTCATTTACTATTCCTGAACTTGTACATGGTTGTTTGGTATCATTGTGTGGTTGTTTTGCAAGTTGATTGGCATTATGTTGATTTGCATTCACTGATGTTGAAGAAGGCAAGACACTTGTTTCAATGTTAGAAATTGGATATTGTGTATGAGAATGATTGTTCTGAATATTTGCTTGGTCCACAGACGAATGGTTCATAGATGATGCATGGTCAATGGTCATACGATTATGACTTTCAGGTGCATGGTTCATAGATGCATGATTTGTAGAAGATGCATGGCCCATGGATGCATGGTACATAGATGCATGGCTCATTGATGCCATAAGTTGTTCAGATGTGCTTTTAAGAACAGTAAAATCAACATGATTCAGTTCTAGCTGAGGTTTCACATTTAGACTAGAGTTTGAGATATCAGAGTTTCTCCCATTTCCTGCTGGTGATATTTTATCCATGGGTGATACAGTATTGTTCATGTTTGGTGCAGCATTGTTCATGTTTGGTGCAGCATTGTTCCAGTTTTGTGCAGTACTGTTCAGAGCAGCATTGTTAATGTTTTGTACAGCACTGTTCATACTCATGGTAGAATTGTTCATGTTCTGTGCAGCATTGTTAATGTTTGATGCAGCTTTGTTCGTGTTTGGGACTGAGTTGTTCATATTTGATGCAGCATTGTTTATATTTAGTAAAGCAATGTTGACATTTGGTGCAGCTACTGCAGCAATATGAGATGCACTTTTGCTCATTTGAGGCATCACATTATTCGACACAGCTTCACTTGTTGTTGAAGCAATGTGTTTAGTGTTTTTTTGTTCGTTTGCAGTCAATTCACTTGCATTAAACTGAGTTTTCATCCTTTCAGGATCAATTAAACTATTCCTGACTTTGGTGTTGGTTCTTTGTTTAGCTGGCTCAGGGCCTGGAGGGTCGGGAACTTTGAAAGATTCGCCAAATATTTTCTTCAATATTAATCGTTCATCATCCGTCATTTTCGTTGCAGTTTTAATAATTTTAGTTTTTTCTTCTCGACCCCGTGGTTTTGATCGAGGACTAGATTGGTTACTTGTTGATGGTGCTGCCATCTGTAAAGCTGGACTGGGTTTTCTGATGTCAGTTTCGGTGATATCAGGGGATATAGGCTTGAAAACTGCATCAACATTGGCTCGAGGATTAACTATTGGCGAGTTGCCTACTATAGGAGTGATTACTTTTGTGGGTTTGATGATTTCAACCCGGGCTTTAATAGGGGTGGAAGGGTTAGAGGACTCTGGTGGAATTTTCCCTTCTGGGCAGACTCGGCCTTCAGTTGTGTTTGAAGGCATAGCTTTGTCCATCTGAATCATTTCCTGGTATGGACTCAAAGAGGACATGAACATGTTGTTAAATACCATATTAGGGTGAAGAGGTAGGGGGCTCATAGTTTTAGAGGGGGAGGGAATCCCTAGTGGGCTAATTGAGCTAGGGGAGCTTAGACCAGGGCTAGGGGGTACTTGGGGTTGAACCTGCTTCTGAGAGTGGGGATTAGGGTTTCCCCCTGGGATAGAGACAGTGGAGATTCCAGCCAAGGGTGGGGATAGAAGCCCCAGCTGACGGGCCATATTCTGTGTATACATCTGAACAAGATTTACAATGTTAGCTGTATTATTTGATCCCAACACCCCTTTACTGTCGTCTGCTTCAACTTTGGATTGATCCATTTTGCCTGATTGGGCAAGTTTGTGTTGAGGAAGAGGGGTGTTCTGGGACATGACCATGCTAGCTAGGCCACTTTGGGCATGTGGGGAACTCACGGTACTATGAAAAGTTTTCTGTGTGTTAAAGGTATTTGGGAAAAACATTTGGAATGGAAAGTTTTTCTCTACATTCGGGGAAGGTGATGGTAGACCTGTGACAGAAATAGGTGAAGGTGTTTCCACTGGGGACACCATATATGGGGAGTTCATTGGTGGGGATGTTACACCAGATGGGGTTGTTTGAACGAGGGGTCCAAAATGCACCCCCTGAGGTATCTGGTGTATATTAAACGGTGATTTGAACTCGCCATTAGTTTGTGGACTCAAGATTCTATACTGTGGCCCCAGGTGATCTTTGATGGGTGGATCGGTGAGTGTACTTGGATTCACATTTGCCAGGTCACTAGGTAATCCTCCAATTGAACTAGATGCTGCAGAGCTTGGTCGTGAAGAGACATCAATGCTTGATGTTGACTGAGCATGAATTCTCTCAGCTATGTATGACTGTTGGGCCTGTAGGAATCTAGCTATATTTTCATCTGTTTTACAAACAGGAGTTCCAGTCTGTGATTCTAAATCCTGTCGATCATCAGGTCTGCTTAGAGTGCCATCTTTATGTGTCAGCAACAACGATTTGATCGTTTGGAAGCTATCACTGGATGAACCACCATGCGAATCAAGTGAAGAAATCTCTGATTTATAAACTGATGATTGCGTCTCTAAGATTGGTGTCACTTCTTGAGTCGAATTTGAGGAAACTGTTTCATTTTCCGAGCTCAATGAGGCCTTTTGTTGAAGTAACTCCCGAATTGTGGATGGACGCGTTCGTTTAGTCTTCCCACCTAATTTGGAAAACACTGAGTTGGGTACCCGGGTTATATCCACCATTGTTTCTTTTTTGGTCCCTGTGGATTGAACTTCATGTTTTGGTACTAACTGTTCCAATTGGTTTGAAGTGACAGTCGCTGATTTTGGTAAACTCAAGCTCACATTTCGCGTTTCATGTCTACTAATGGGAATGGTCATATTGTTCATATTTGGTGTGAGGGTCACATTTGGCGTGATGTCCATATCTGGTGTGATCTTCGCATTCATATTAGGGGTTATGCTCACATTCGGTGGGAAATTTGATGACACGTGCATAAAATCAGCACCAGAGGGAGCTGTGACATTAGGTGGCGCCACATACTGATTATATATAAATGGTTCCGATACCGGAGGGGCAAGATTGCTAGCAAAAGATTGGGGCTTATCAGGTTTACTCGCATGCGGTTCCTGTCTACTCAAGGTTGAGTGCATGTACTCATAGTAGATCTGATTCATCTGGATCTGCGACGAGGGACTTGGTTTTTCCTCAATGTTTAAATCTGATCCTGAAACTTTGTGTGGATTAAACTTGATGTCAATGATGTGATCTGGATTTCGGACTATATCCGCCAAGTCAATTTTAGCTTGTTTACTCCCAATGTAGTTATGATCTATTAATGCGGAGGTATTTGTAACACTGTCTGTTCCTTCAGGTGAAGCACCATTTTCTGTCAATTTGCATTTTTTTCTGCGTGGTTTAGCACCCATAACTAGCGGACCTTTCCCTCTTGTGTTATCCAATGAATGAAGAGTATTTCCTTCTGCGATGTTGCTATTATCAAGCACACCAATTTGGCTGTTGGAATCGTAAGATACACCCCTGTCATATTCACTTCCACTATCTGGTTCATCATCACTTTCTGGTTCAGTTTCAGGTTTAACGAGTATTTTCTTTGAGGTTGTGTTCTTCTCACGTTGCCGTAATGGAACAGCCAGTTTGTATAGGGCATCTTTGTGCCTGAAATAGAACAGAAGATTTGATGTACAAAATAGTGATTCTTCTTGCAATGCATATTTGAACTAGTAATTCTGCATATTTTGATATCTATTTGTGTCTAAAAATAAAATGTCAGTAAATAGATGTGCCACAAACTAAAACTGTTTGGTAAAATGGGTGAGCAACTGGGAAGAGAGGTTTTTTTGTGGTAGAAGGATTTTCCACTTGAAGGGGGTAATGGTTATGATGTAGTCAAATTGAATACAACTGGACCAAATTATTTCATCCAAATAAACTCTACTCACATGACATCAATCTTTGGTTGAGCCTGGGCAATTTTTATAACATTTACATGTATGTTAGTAAGTTTTTGTAGGCTGTTGACTTTACATGAATAAAATTACCTATGAAACATGATGGCATTTGAAGAATTTATCAAATATTTTGTCATTATTAATAATTATGATTAAGCACTAACTTGGAATATTTTGGTGTTCTCAGGTGAAGGTATTCCATCACCAGTTGCATGACCTCATCACATTTACCTAAAAAATAGAAACATTCTGAGAAACTTTTCAGTGGATGTGAACTTTGAATGAACTGACCTGATTTTTGAAAAATGTGGACATGTCTAGGTTTTACTCGCTACCACTGTATTTTCAACAAATCAACTTTTTTTTATATTTCAACATAATGAGAGAAAATGTAATTCTTTAGAGAAATGTTTTATGAATGAGACTTGTAATGCCAAGCCCAAAACCAGTGCAATTATGAGAAATATTTTTTGTAAAATTAATAAAGACAGAAGAATCTGTAAATTAGAATATCTGTCTAATTTGATCAACTGTCAATATAACACTTTGTACTCCCACTTTTTATCTGCCATAGACTTTCTGGTTAAACAAGGCACAGACGTGAACAATATCGTACCTAAAACAAAGCATTGTGGTCTTGTTGATCAAGAAAGCAAGATGGCCGCAGAAAAGTTAATCAGCTCTAGAACTTATCACTGTGTAACATATGTAAAAATTTGAACGGTTTGGCTGGAAACCTGTAGACAAGTCTTGAAAGTGAAGATTTTAGGACAGAAAATCCAAAATGGCCACCTTAAAATTTAAACAGAATGCCCAAAAACTAATCAGTTCTTGACGTTGATATGTAGAAACATCCCTGAAAATTTCAGATGAATCCCTCAAATGGTTTGGCTGAAAACCTGTAGACAAGTCTTGAAAGTGAAGATTTTAGGACAGAAAATCCAAAATGGCCACCTTAAAAATTACCCAGAATGCCCAAAAACTAATCAGTTCTTGACGTTGATATGTAGAAACATCCCTGAAAATTTCAGATGAATCCCTCAAATGGTTTGGCTGGAAACCTGTAGACAAGTCTTGAAAGTGAAGATTTAAGGACGGAAAATCCAAAATGGCCACCTTAAGATTTACCCAGAATGCCCAAAAAGTAATCAGTTCTTGACGTTGATATGTAGACCTGAAAATTTCAGATGAATCCCTCAAATGGTTTGGCTGAAAACCTGTAGACAAGTCTTGAAAGTGAAGATTTTAGGACGGAAAATCCAAAATGGCCACCTTAAAAATTATGTAGAAACATCCCTGAAAATTTCAGATGAATCCCTCAAATGGTTTGGCTGGATCCAAGTGGTGTTCAGAATACACAGTTTTTACTGTATGAAATTAATCCACAAAACGTTGATGTTGTCTTTCTTTCAGTATGTACATGAAACTATGAGTGAACAATGTTCTTATGAAAACTATTTAGAATTCTGTCTACTTAAAACATAACGTTGATTTACTAAATACTTACCATTAATCTTTAGATGTGCAATGTCATCTTTTGGTGTCCATTGGAGATTGATAACGATAAGTTTAGGTCTCTTTTGCTGGGTTTTATGCATACCCCACAAGCAGGGGTATCTTCGTAGCACCTAGTTGGGTAAAATTACAAAATAAATTAATAAATACAGCAAACTTGCCTGCTTGCAATTGTATACACTTTGTTAATGTTATGTCAATAAATTGTAAAATGGCACTGCATTTTTACAGCAACATACATTTAGTGAAAGAATCTATATTTTACTGCTTAACTTTTTCAAGACTGCTCATATCCCAAACACAAACTGTTTTCATTTCTTATGAAGTCTATGTTTTTTAGGATCATTGCCATTTTCCATGAAAACAATATTTCTTTCAAAGAATTTTCCAATTCCCCTTTGAATTACATTAAGTCCGATGTCCTTGTGACAGAGCTTATTTTCATTTACATGCATCATGATTGCTTATTCTAGCTACTACTTAAGATTGAACTACTGAATTTGGCTATCATGGCTTGGAATTTTTCCTATGAGGCTTGACTTATCGCTTAAAATAAGTTGGCGTAGTATGAGATTAGAGAACCTATATTAAGACAACTTACCTTTAAACTAGAGCCAAGGCACAATATAAGATCAGCGTCTTCAGCATGTTTTGAAGCTGCTTCCCAATTGTATGGCCCAGTATGAAGTCCTCCCTTTTCACCAAAGTGAATAATTGTGTCCCTGGAATGAAATAAAAAATATGTGCAAGTGCAATTTTTAAAAATATCTGAAGATTGCAGATGTTTACAATGTACCTGGTATTTTACAATGTACCTGGCATTTTACAATGAACCTGGCATTTTCAATATGTTTTGAAAAAATCTATATCAGTCGCAATGCCAGATTCTTAAAATAAGCGAGGAAAATAGATGAAAGGAAAGCAAATCCCACAATCTCTGGACTTCATTTCAATTCAAGAACTTATTTGAAAAATCTGTGTTAATGAAAATTTAGGTGAGACAACTACCGAAGCTGCCACACTATTCCCCTAATGTATGGATGCACATAATTCAGTTGATTAAAAAATAAATAAAAACCTAAACCACAGAATTATCATAATGGCAGGGTGGGTCAATGCTTATGTTTTCTGGACCAGTGCCTAGGCCAAAAAGGGTGAAGACCTTACGTTTATGTATATTATACATTTTCGTGTTATTTGCAGAATAACACAATACACAACATTAAGATATCTCTATACCTGAGATTTTTCCTGCATTTGTGGCATTTCCTGTCTGTGTTATGTTTGCGCATTCCAGTTTTCTCCGTAACATCAAATAGTCGAAAGTAGTCCCGGTTGTCACACTTAGCACATTGCTGAAGAAAGAAATACACAATTATTGATTTTAACAAAAACATCACTTCTGTATTGTATTGTATTGTATTGTATTGTATTGTATCCTTTATTACCACATTCTTTCTATGTGAGGACATTACAATTTTCAATATTTTTTTAAAACATTGTGTATAATTGGAATGGCTCCATTGGAATGCACTTAATGTTATATCCCACCTAAAAGATTAACTGTTGTTTTGAATTAAATGCATGAAATTTGGTCGACTCAAAAAGTAATAGCATGAGGAAGAAAATCCCCTGAATTCCAGGCAGGTATGATAAAATTTGTTTTGGGGAGACTAAAATTTAAAATGTGGGCCTATATCTATTTATGATTTTATTGTGACTAGTGATTTCTCACTAAATCATTGCAAATACCTCATTTTTTCTTATTTTCGAAAAAAAATTATTTGTAAAAAATAATGCTCTGTATTAACTTGAAAGTTGGCACACACCTCCAAATACATGTTCCCGTGGACTTCAGATAGACTCTCTCTAGGAAGGCCACTTCTCACATGAAGACCATCACAGTTCTGAGAGACAACATACTTTACCTAAAAATAACAAATCCCATTCTGATATATATACTGTATATATTTGATATCCTCTATTTATTAAGGATAAGTTAGCTTGGAGTCAGATTTTCTCAATGATAATTTTTAGCATTTTCAGAGGAGCTCAAATTTGGCCAAATACTGTTTTGTCAATTTTCGCAATTATAGAAGCTAATTTTTGAGAATAATAGCTGGTCAGAAGTTTTCTGTGCAATAAGTAAGAAAATAGGATGGCACTTGCACAAGTCACTTATTAAAAGCAGTGACATATTTCAGTGCAGCTTTCACCTAAATAACAGCCCTGTCCAAATACTAGTCCATCAAAGTCACATTAACATAGTCAGTTCCAAAATCACAATTCTCTAATATACAACCCATTCTTACCAGTTTTTTCTTGTGAAGCTGCACGATGCACATGTGGGTTAAGGTGGGTTCAGCCTCGCTCAAATCTTGGCACATTGGAGTCTTTCCTTCCTTAAGGAGGGTCCACACTCCATTAGGGCCGCGGTAGTCAGGTATGGAGGCAGCCTTAAGTATGAGGAAAATCGTACAATATTTGGGGAAATCATACAATTTTTAGAAATCATGCTGTCACTAATATTTCCACTGAGTGACTAAGGTAGTGATTATCAAACAGGTCCCATATTACAGACACTGACAGAGAGTTGTCTCATGGACATGGAATGGTGTTTTGGTTTTCCCTCCAAAGTAAAGGTCTCTAACTATGACCGATTTTACATTGTATTGATCCGTTCCTGCAAATTTACATATTTGAGAGAAATTAAAAAAGGATAATGGTAATTACGTGACGTTTTTTAGTTTTAGGCTGAGACCGAACACCAACTGCCAAACACCAGCCACAAAAAAAGTTTTTCTTGTGGTGACATAAAAATCTTAGCATCGTAAGTATTGCAAAGCTCCTTAAAACAAATTTTGAGATCCTCCACATGCTATTTACAGACTTAACTCGAACAGGATTATGTCTACCATTACTGAAATCAAACAGCATAATTATTACTCACTGTGCTGATGCCTGCTCCTGTGTAGATAATTGCATGTTTGGCTGTCCGGATTGCATCAGCGAGCTTTTCACATTTCTCCCTCAAACTTTCTTCATTGTCCTCAATCTATAAACATCATGGATTTTAGTATATTTGTTTTAGAACAGATGCATTTTACAAAGTAATTGAATGGTGACTGGTACAAGGTGCCTTCATGAATAAATTTCTCTTGCATAATCAGGGTTCTCACTAGGCTTTCAGACTCCAGAGATTCTCTGGAGTCTAATGTCATTAAAACCTCTTCTAGCTTTTCCGGAGTCGAAAGTGTTCTTCTGGAGCCTAATTTTACATTTTTGTCACATTATTTGTGGTAAAACTCTTAAGAAAATACGTAAAATTAGGTTGAAACATTGAGGAATATGAAGTCAGAAACCTTTTAATAATGTATATTGTGATTAAAATAGGAAGATAATCTTAAGTAGTATTTTAAAAAGTATAATAATAGGGTATCTCTGATCTCACATCTGGAGGAGTAGTCGCGATACCATTAAAAATCTGGGGTCAAAAAATTTCCTGGTGAGAACCCTGATAATGATCATTTCCTATGAGACACCCTGTACATAATACTTTTTATTAAATAATTTTAGGTGCTGCTGTTCTACAGGGTGGTAAATACCTAAACCCTGCATTTTCCTCATATCTTTGTCAATTTAAGAAATGATTTCCTGATATATATCACACTTACCCTTTTACCATATTTCTTGACAATCAGACTGATAGTAACAATGTTACAGGATTTTGAACAACATGCTTCAGGTTTGGCCATCATCGTGCTGTAGGCAAACCTACACACAGTTTTGGACGAGGTGTGCAGGTTTGCCTACAGCGCAAAAGTGGAGCGTTTATTTAAAGTGCTGTAAAATTGTGTTTGTCACTCTGATGGTCACGAAATATAGAAGGCTGGTAGGAAATTGAATGATGTACAAATGTGTAAAATATAAATGAGACCAGACAATTATATGAGGAAAATAGCGTTAAGGATTTCCATTTTTTGAATCACTTATCAGTGCTCTCCCCAGGATTTTTTTGTAGGGAGGATTTTGTAAAAAAAATTGCAACATTTTGGGATTTTGTTATTCTGAAAGTGCAACATTTTAATATCTTTTACTCCTAAAGTGCAACATTTGCGGATCTGGGGGGGGGGCTGGGCCCCTCCCTTGGGTTGGCCCAGAAAAAAATTGGGCCTTTTTGAGCATTACTGGGCCTTTTAAGGCCTTGTTTTTTAATTTTAGGCCAAATTTTGAAGCAAATGGGCCTTAAATTTTCAAAACTTGGGCCCACTTTTTGGTTTTAGGGGCCCAAATTTTTTTTAAAGTTTGGGCACCCCCCTTGTTGGTTCCCAGATCCGACCCTGTATACGTACTGATTATGCCTGTTTATCAAATATTTATGAAAAAAGTAATCTAAGTTTACATTTTTGGTAATAAACTTTTAAAATGTAAATTTGCCGCTTCGTCCATTCAGCAAAAAAGCATATTTTTTGTTGAAATTCAACAGGGCCATTTTTAGTTAATCGGGCGACCAGATTCACTTAAAAAGTACTTACACTTGATTGTGTTGTGCCAGACAACTTGCCAGCGGTGTGCTTCTGACATTCTTCTGATAAAATCAAGTAAATATATCGAAATAAGGCGAAAGTTATTTTAAGTCTCGGAGAAAAATAGTGGAGTTAATACGAACGGCACAAATTTGCGTTTGGTCGTTTGAAATAGCGAACAATTCATTTTCTTCCATGTTAATCTGTCATTGAACCAAATAAATGTACGAACGACGTGAATTTATGATCGGTCAACTAAAATAGCGAACGTTCGCTTTTCTTCCATGTAAATCTGCAATTGAAGCAAAGGAATATGCGTTCGATAAAACACTGCATAAGTGAAAATTTAAAAACAAACAAAACATTGACTTTTCGGTAAGATTTTGTTATTTTAAATCTTTTGAGGCGGAGAAACAAAGTGTAGGGTTTGTCAGTGGCGCAAGGAATAACCCTGAGGCGCATTTCTTTGATTGCAATTGCTTGGAGGCGCAGCGCCTCAGTAAGTTCAATGTAGGGAGAGCACAGCTTATATTAGTATGTATGTGTTAAGAGTACCTCTAAAGAGCGCTGTTTGACAACAGTCCTTTGGTTCTGTCGTTTCTGAATTGACTGCACAACATCAGGAGATTGCTCCAAGACAAGGTTGTCTTCTGCTGTCCTTGCCTCTTCCTCTTTCTTTAGGATCACATTGATCTGAATTAAAGGAAATATTTATTGATAGTTAATTTATAAAGTAGTGATATCAAGTGGGTGCAAATCGGACCAAAATTGGTCCAATGTGCCTATTTTTCATGATTTTTCTCATTTTCAAGTGGGTGCAAATGGATTCTCAGGTGGTGCAAGCCTATTATTATAATTTAAGGTGGGTGTTGCACCCACTTGCATTCATACTCGGGAGATCACTGTAAAGTAAATCACCAAGTATGTCTAAATGTTGACTACCTTAATCTAAATGAATATTAGTACGAGGGAATGAATTATCAATTCGTATAAAGCTTAATTAAAGATATGAATGCATTCCCCGTATCATGTTTCGATCATATATTATAAATAAAGGTGAATATTGTATTCCTTAGACCAAATAGCATGTGCAGTATATATATAAAAGTACAGCTCATTTATGTGTTTGCATACCTGATATAATGTAAATTTGGTATAGATTTTATTGGTTGACTTGAATCCAAATTTTAGATATTAAATTAATTGAAAATGATTTAGGAGTTATTTACTATTTAATGGATAACCCTAAACTGATATTTCAATTTAACTGAATTTTTGATAATTTAAAACATGGAACCCTGTAAAAACTGAACTGATACAAATACATTGGTATGACTGTATGAATTTTGCGAGTGTGATGATTTTAAAATGTAGCCAAAATAAAAAATATAAGATTTTTGTAGAGGAAAGCACAGACAAGACATTCCCAGCAGGCAATTCATTGGTAATTTTCTATAGAAACTCCATCACTTAAGATGTATTTTTAATTGTATGATATTCTACAGTGGTACATTGTTTGGGAAAATATAATTGTTCTCACAACTGAATTATTTATGCAAGCCTAAGTTTATTAGATGTAATGTACTCAAGAATGGAGAAGGGCTAATGGTGCTGTATATAATACAACAAAGCTTTTAAAAGAACATATTAAGAATGTAAATACTGAATGTTACAGTCATTCATACCTAATATCATACTATTAAATGTTATGACACAATAATGGGAACAAGTAATTCACTGGTCTTTAATGGGATACATATGACTAGTAGGTTTCAGTATAGACCACTAAATATACGGTGTGTCATGATGACATTCTTTTCGAATACAAGTAGAAACACCTTTTAAATGAGAAACTAGAAAATGGCAACTCCACGGAGTAGCAAATCCCAACGAACACTATATAAATCATCAATCTGTACAGTCACAATGTAATATTTACCATCTACTCTTACCTTCAATAAATATCTTAGATCAAGATAACTCTAAATAATGGCGAATGCCATAATTGTCAAGTACTCTGAAATTCCTTCAATTTGAGTATAATATAGCCATACTCAGATCAGAGAATAATTGTGAGATCCCACATTAGGCAGCCATTTTGAATTTTTTGTGGCCTGAATCAGAAAAACGCTACATTATTATCTAAAGTGCCTTTCATTCGAGTATAATAAAGCTATACTTCAAAAACATCTCAAAATTAACGCAAATTCCTGTTTTCCCAAGCCCCAATTTACGGTCCCTGGGGGTCAGGGTGAAAAACCTGGGATATATGTGAAATAGATAGATGTTGTTAATATACTACCAAAATGAAAAACATAAGATTTTTTTGCGAAAAACTATTCACCATTATTCATCTTTCCACCAAATATGAAGAAAATCTGTCGACTAGTATTCGAGTTATCTTCCGGACAGACAGACGGACGGACTGACTGACGGATGGCTTCTGATTCCTACTGAACTTTGTTTGTTGGGATAATTAGTGAAAATATTGAGTGCATAACAGTTTTGCCATTATTTCATTAAAGTGATTATTTGTAACGGCAAAAAATAATTCTCCAATTTCTAAATTATTTTTACCATAAGAAAACATGCCTTATATCAAATGCCTATGCTGTAGGCAAATTAAAATACCCAGTCTAAAGAATTGGCCAGTATATGAATAATTATTTCTGAATTTGTGATTAATGAAATGGTAATGGTCTGCATACTGTATAACATTGTTTTATTGTTAACAGTTTCCATAGTAACTGTTTGAACCAATAAACCTTGTGATATAATTATATAGATATATATAGATATATTTTTCTGTATAGATTTATCTCACTGGTACATGTAAAGGTTTATAACATTGAAAATTAATTACTATAATTCTCTGAAGTAAATGAACTGGAGTTATTTAATATATATCTTTAAATACATCAGAGAAATTGAACCACTCCAGTCCAAAAAATTCCTTACAAATCAAATGAATGTTTTCATGTTGTGATCCAAGGAGGATTGGCCCCCAGAATGCAACATCAGTTAACCTTATTTACCCGTGACAGATTTCAAAATGGCGGAACAGTATTTTGAAAGCTGTCACCTGTCACATAGTTCAACAATTTAAACCTAGTCTGGGCCTTATTTCTTATCTGACATATTTTGTTCCCCGCCCTAGGTTTAACTTGTTGAACTACGTGTCACATTGCATTCTGGGAGCCAATCCTCCTTGCGGCATAACTGGGCTCCAAAAGCACCTCAACACTTGAAGAGTCTGGATTAACATGTGAAAACCACTTCAAATTCTTAAGTTCCTAATTGTCATTATGGACACAAATTCCACTACATTTGTAGTTTCCAGTACGGAGAAAATAGAGCACTCAATTCACTGAGGTAAGAATTTATTCTATGTGCGAATGAAAGAATGTCTTTTTCATAGTGTTAGTCATTATTTATTACTCGAGTCTCTAGCCAATACTTGGCTAGAGGGGATTTCATCTTGAATACTGTGAACTCTATTTGAAAAAAGCTGGTCGTGGTGTCATAAATTTATTGAATATTTTAAAAATCGCCAGATAAATAAATCTTGAATCAAACCGGACCCAGCTCGGCTCCTTGATGAGATATGACATGATTTCATCAGGATTTAGTCTAAAATTAAAACAAAATGGCTCCAAGAAAAATGGCGATGTTCGAGAACTGGACGAAATGTCGTTAACGTCTGACATTAGTAACTGGCTGTAAATTCTAAGTTAGCGATCCAGAAGATGTGAACTAATACACTGATCACTTTATGTGTTTTGGAATTTTTGGTGAGGTAATGAGACCAAAACTCGCAATTCAAATTGTGATGTGGAAAAATGGCGGACATATGATTTCAAATTTTATGATTACGACATGACCAGTTTTTCATGCAGGAATATATCTGTACTGGAAGGCCACGATACAGTGGCCTTAGAAGAAGGTAAATTATTTATGTTCCAACTTTAAATGTGACACTGCATTTGTCAGATGACTGGGATGTATCAGGGTACTCAATTTGATAATTTCTTGATCCCCTTATCTTACTCGAGTCTCTAGCTTACAGCTAGACGAAACTTCATTGATTTCGTATGTACTGTGCTACACGCACCTACACGCACCTAGAACTCATTTTTAATAAATTTTATAAATATTTTTAAGAATATTAATCATATTTAGGATGAAGCGTTGCTTGTCTGGATTTAGATATTTCAAAATTTCATTTCGGAGTTTTGACACATGGTGAAATTTTCTCGCTGTAGCTAAAAATGGCTTCCGGTTCTGGACGTGAATAACATTTGAAATTATTCTCGCTTAAAAGAAATCAAATAGACCAATAGATTCAGACGGGGATGTGAGCTGATGTTCTTCAAATCTATACATAAAGGTATATTTCATATTATTATGCCATATTTACTGTGCGTGTGACACAATGATTTACAATAGTCTATTTATAATACTAAGGCAGCTCAATCTTCCTCCTCAAAGCCGGAATATAGAGAAGGCTTTGGACCGAAGTAACCCTTATCCGTACACTCAGTAGATAATTCATTAGCAGATGTATAATTATTCATTCGTTTTTTATAATTTTCTTAACAAGCATTCAAAGGCATAGTAATATTTTTTACAATATTATTTTTTTTGAGAAAAATCCAAGATTTTTGAAATATTGCACACCTTCAACTCAGAACTACGGCCTGATTTCACATCATCTAAACTAATTGTTACCTTGGGTTTATAGCACTATATACCATACCTGTTTTGACCGAGCTCTTATCTCCTCTTTGACCAGGATCCGTGCTAAATCTGCGCACTTCTTGGCATTCCGAGTCGGTCGACTAGGACCATCCGCCATTGCTGGAGGTCACCTGGGTCAAGGTTGAATATTTTATTTATCTTACGAGCTGATTTTTAATACCGTCGAGTTAGCGAATTTTAATATTTTTGAAATTAAAATTATGGTGTAGTTGATTAATATATTTATGCAATAACTTGTAAACTGGTTTTAGAAATATGCAATATATTTGTTGTTGTTGATCTAAGCGGCTTTGACCCAGATTGCAAAAAAGTTAAAAATGTTGAATTCGTGGAGAAAATTTCATTTTATGGACAGAGATGACAACCAAGCGATGATAATAAACATCCCAGAGGTTCGTCATGTCTTTTGTTTATTTATAAGCATGGTTTGGTGAGGCAAACATTTTGATAACTGAGTGAAAATGGACAATGAAATTTCGAAATTTTGAAAGTAATAACTTTTCGTGAGCATTTCGTTTAGTCCGAATTGGTCTCTTTGCTCCCGGGATACTAGATAGTAATCAGATTCAACTGTTTTAATGACTTGGGTTATGTCGATGTGTGGCTCTCATTCTGAATAAATTGAAATTATTAGATATATTAGTGTTACCAACACCAATATATCTACCCCCACAGCCAGCACCATCTATCTAATATAATAGAATGAAGTCTGGTATTACTTAGAAAAAAGTAAATTCAAAATAATTTTTTTCTCATGCCAGTGGCTTTGATCACAGATATTGGCCAGTGATATTCTATATTCATTTAACTTTCATATTTTTGTAACTTGTCAGAGAATTTTTTTAACATTTCTTGGCGATCAATAAATATGTCCATGAGCAGAGATTTGGCCCAAAAAACTAAGAAATTTGCGCTTCAAGCTCAATATCTGCAATTTGCAAGCGATTCGGACCATGTTTAAGTATCAAAATAATGCTAAGAGTATTGAGACTCAACTGAAGTTAAAAAACTAATAAGGTGAATGAATGAATTCCATTTTTATTAAATTATCAACATGTAGATGATCATGTTTTATTTTTATTTTTGAGTTATTTCTTTAAATCATCCATAAAAAGGACAAAATAAGATTTTCTTGGAATGTGTTCTCCAATTTTGAAAAGTCAAAGGCAATGCTTATGTATGAAATATGGGAAGTTGCCTACCCTTCTAGTTGAAAGCCCATGTTCAAACTCTCTACATTGAGGCATTGGGATCCAGAAGCTAACAAGGGGGGGGGGCAAATTTTGAGAGTGGAAAATAATTTCCGCACTTGCTCCGAAAAAGAATTGGACATATAAGGCCCATTTTGGATAATTTGGCTAATTAGAAAAGCCATGCCCCCTGGATCCAACAGTGGTGAGGTACTCTAAAACACTTCTGGTTGTGGCGATCAATCATTTTAAATATTATCTGTAAAATGTATTTTTGAGGATAGCATATCAGAACTAAAGTGAGCAATATCACAAATACATTACATTGGATCTTGGATTATATTCATATTTAAAAACATTGTTGAATTTAAATTCAAAAGTTTATAATATTAGGCTTTTAACATCTGGCTTATGATTATAATTAATTATAATTTTGCTCCAAATATTATTCTAAACTGCCATTTGATTCATTGATATTTACAGGTAATAGATCCTCATTATGGAATGTATGTCTGGCCTTGTGCTCCTGTACTTGCCCAGTATATCTGGTACAACAGGGAGTGTGTTGCAGGCAAGAATGTATTTGAGGTAAATGATCTCTTCATTATCCATCCTAACTTCATAAGATCTTCGACCAGAATGCTCCTCTTAAATGAACTGTATTGCAAAAGTTCAAACTGTGTTGACTGCTTTTTGACCAAATTTGAGAATGTATGAAATGAGACCATTAACAATATAAAATGAATTCCTAAACGTGTCAGTACATGTACATCCTAATTTTTCATGATTTTCCAAATTCTCAACTGTGTTTACTAACTGATCCATATTGCTTGGAATATCACTATTAAAACCGTGCCCATTGACTTTCCAGATAGGAGCAGGAACTTCTTTACCAGGGATCATGGCAGCTAAATGCAAAGCACATGTAACCCTAACAGATTCTGCCGAGTATCCTCGTTGTCTGGAGAACTGTCGAAATAGCTGCAGAGCTAATGATTTGCCTCAGGTTAAGGTCCAAAGTCTTACTTGGGGTTTGCTAGATGGCGATACTCTCTCTCTTGGAGCACTAGATGTCATATTGGGCTCAGATTGCTTCTTTGACCCTCAAGGTATTGATAACGACTGGGTCGTGAAACCTTTTGAAAATTGTTTATGACCCATTCAAAAATCTGCACTCCGCCAAACTGGTGAAATATTGAGACCAAAACAGCATAAAGCATCCTGTAAAGAGAAAATCCTGTGGAGATCACTGAAGGTGGTTGTAATTTCCTCAATATTGTTGGTCCAACTGTAACAAATTGTTTTTGTAATTTTTGTAATTGCAACCAGTGGTGATGTTCCATAAATGCCTTAAGTGTCTCTATCCTTCAACTTCAGAGGACATCAATATAAGATTCAAAACATGTACTTTTTCACATTGTCTCATTCATTTACTTTTTCACATTGTCTCATTCATTTACTTTTTTACATTGTCTCATTCATTTACTTTTTCACATTGTCTCATTCATTTACTTTTTCACATTGTCTCATTCATTTACTTTTTCACATTGTCTCATTCATTTACTTTTTCACATTGTCTCATTCATTTACTTTTTCACATTGTCTCATTCATTTACTTTTTCACATTGTCTCATTCATTTACTTTTTCACATTGTCTCATTCATTTACTTTTTCACATTGTCTCATTCATTTACTTTTTCACATTGTCTCATTCATTTACTTTTTCACATTGTCTCATTCATTTACTTTTTCACATTGTCTCATTCATTTATTTTTTTACATTGTCTCATTCATTTACTTTTTCACATTGTCTCATTCATTTACTTTTTCACATTGTCTCATTCATGTACTTTTTGACATTGTCTCATTCATGTACTTTTTCACATCGTCTCATTTAGTATTCTTGGTTGGCATTAAATGCTGTATTTTTCATGAAGTTTTTGTTATTCTTGGATGTCCTTTATTAAATGTATTATTTTATTACATTCCAGAATTCGAAGAAATAATTGTAACTGTTAGTTACCTTCTGAAGTTGAACAGGAAAGCTGAGTTCTGGTGTACTTATCAGGAAAGAAGGTACATGTAAATATATTTAATATATTTGTTTATCTACTCCTTGCCATCCTCCGATCACAGGGCTTCAAAATCCAGAATATCTTCTAAGACTTTCTTTTTACCCCCTGTGATAAGCAGTTAACATTTCCCCAATTAAGAACTCGCAATCTGATTGGCTGTCGCAACACTGCTACAGTAATCATGTATAAGTCATGGTGCATAATAAGATCACGTGATTCAGTTTAATCAGGCGCTTCCAAATTGGTTATAGCAGGGGGGAAGAAGGAGCTATGGATTCTGGACACCTGCTTAGGAGGATGCTCCTTGCAGTCCAACTGTTTTAGTGGACATGTGAGCCTTTATATAGTGTTTTTCAATACCATGTGTTTTGAAGTTGCCAATTGTGTGAGTATTCTCAACAGCAACATGGTACTCAACATTTACTGAGTTAAAAGAGTCAATGAATAATTATGTAAAATAACAGGACCTAGTATACTAGTAAATGACCTAGAGTATTAGCTCATATTATTTTCATATAGATGGCAGGTCATGGTATGGTTGTTGGCACATTCCTGATTTTATGCCAAAGATACATCACATTGATTTTTGACCTTTACAGTTTAGTTACATGGTATTTTACAATAATTAACTTGTTTTTTTGAGTTAGTGTCCTGAGTTAGTGTAGTCTTATGTTAGCTTATTTTTTATATTGTGCACTGTATTGACCAATATGTCAGTGCTATGACATCAGAGGATCAAATAATGACTTGCATGTATACATTGCAATACTCGATTCGCTTACTATTTCCTATATGATAATGATTCTTAGGAGTTTGATAATACAATGCATTTACGAGGAAATATTTTTACAGTTCTGATTGGTCAATCGAGGGGCTACTGCTGAAGTGGAACTTAAATTGTAACCAGGTTCCTTTGCCAGATTTTGATGCTGATTCGGGAAACATTGCAGAATCTGATCTTCCAGGACCTCATACTATTCATATGTATGTGATGACTTATAACGATGTTGATGATACATGACGTCACAAAAGGCTGTTCCATTGAGGTTCCATTGAGATAATACGGAGAGGAGAGTGAGGGAATACTTTGCTAAAAGGTTGTGGTTCAAAGAAATAGTTTGAGTATTGTGGCATAGACGGTTGAATTTGTGATATACTACACTATTGGCAATTTGGTATACTGAGAGCATATTGAAAATGCTAATACAGCGTGCACATGTCATGTACGTAAAAAGAGCAAACTATTGAATGCATCCACAGAACCTTCATTACATTGAGGTTGAGCCACTTCAACTTCAACATTGACTTATGGTACATGTAATAATGAAAATGAACTCACCATTGCTTTTACATAAAAGACACATGTCAGCTGTGTACAATATGAGAACACATGATGTTACACATCAGCTGTGTACAACAATCACATGTCAGATATGACATGGTCTCAGAAATATTCTCCACTAAACCTGGTATGAGAATTAAACACCGAAGCGAAAGAAACATTTTAAAATATTTACATATATTTACATCATCATGTGAGTAATATACAGAACTGTAAGACAGTGTCATAATACAAATTATATATACAATTTATATAAATTTTAAAGTACTTGCAACTGCAAAAATCTCAATTTGTTTAATTTATAAATAAGATATTTACATTATATGGATTGTTAAACCTCTACTGAGTAAAATTTTTATACACAGTTTGTTTATTCCTGTTACATTTCGACTTTTGAGCATAGGCCTACATGTAGTAACTGCATTTGTAGCATCGTCCAAATGGATCAATCCTTTGATAACATCACTCAGTCCATATCTGAACTGGTACATATCCACTGAAGGGAAATTCAGTTCACACTTTCAGTTAAAATAAACCACGTTACACCTAGGATATTCCTCAGTTATGTCACAAATATTTCCATCAATCACAATTGATATTCCACAAAGACACGGGCATGGATTGAACGAAAATAGAATGAAATATTTGTTTCACGGTTTCAGGTATTTAAGGAGATGGTTCTGATCAATGACATTGCCAGTGAATCTGGTTGATAAAACGTCGCACCTTCGAATCTTAGTTTATTATAATATATCATATTGATGCTAAATGATGAATATCCGTTTGGAATAGTATTAGTACTGTAGAAGTGCATGGACGCACAAAGTATAACATTTCTATTTTTAATTCGAATTCATGGAGACGTCCTATGTTATGGAAGAGTGTAATCGCTATGATAAACCTACAGCATGAACGGACTATTTGCAACGAGTACTTTGTTCTACCAAGCGATCATACCAGTATGCATCTACATATCTATTATTTCATATTCGATGTCGTTATCCTTGCCACCGTGATCCACATGATTCCCGTTACAATGCCTGCCCCAAAAGCCGTCCAAGCCGCTAAGTAACTCCAACCATATTCCACCTGTTCTGCCTCTGCTATGATCTTATCGAGGTCTTTTGCAGTGTGACTGTAAGTCATTCTAAGTAGCATCAATATTATCAAAAATAGCTGATATAGTGCTGGAAAAGAAAGATTGACACTTTTAATTGCAAAAAGTACTTGTTAACCCCCCTATCACACCAAACTAGTTCATACCCGTTCTTGCCAGTCCTACGAAAACGTCGTAAAACGGGCTCAATCTGGCTGTGGTCGGGAAATATATCTAAAATAATTAGCTACATCGTACATAAACAGTCTTCAATACGTCCATCTCATTCGCAATTCGTTCAGGTCGCACCAGGTCGGTGTGCAACGTCGTATAATGCGTCCCTTAGTCTAGAAGGTCATCATGACCTGATTACAGAGCGGTATGGTAGAGCATGTTCTAAGTTCTAGAGGACCTACTATTTCTAGTAGTTTCATGAAGTTTGTAAACAGATCCCAAACGGTTCTTAGTGGGTTCTTAGTACGTCAAATCCAGCCCGTTTTCGAGAACGTAGTGAGAACTAGTTTGGTGTGATAGTAGGGTAAGCCTGACTTTGTATATTCCACACTTGAATAGGCATGCAATGTTTGCAAATACTTGCACAAAGTTGTTGATTCATAACTATGTAAATAGCAACAATACAGTAAAACCCGTCTTAGTGAACACCCCTCTCTACTGAACATTACACCTGTTTCCAGTGGACACCCTTCCTCAGCAATACTCTATTGACTTTTGTATAGATTACCCTCTCCTTAGTGAACACCTACCAACACTGAACTGTTTTTTCTCGGCAAAAAATGTTCAATATACACAGGTTTTACTGTACTTCCATATCATGTTTATAGATACTTACAAGATGCCAGTGAGCAGATCCCAGATAAGAGCATTAGTATTATTGTCGGGTTGGCACATACCACCGCGCCAAGGGCTATTGATACAAATAGTACAATGGCTGCCACGAGACTGCACGACTGGGCGGACCTCGTGAATCCCATTGCTGAAACGCAAGTTAAATTAATGGTGTTATCATCGTATAACAAACAGAAGGGAAAAGACAAGTATTTTTACAAAAGAGAAAGAATGAACGTCTACCAGTAATAAGGAAAACAAAACCCCAATATCTGAAACGTTGATCTTACAAGAAAATTATGTTTGGTATAATCTCCGGGGTTCCATCTGGCCACTTTTTAAGAAGTGATATTCGATGGTTTGGGGATTTTTTTGCCAAAATAGGATATCTTGATCCACATATCAAATATATCTTCACCTGATATTCGATATGTATCCTTGTAACCATGGGGTAAACACTTATACAGACATTATTACAAGGCTCCATCTCGAAATTCTACCGTATATCAGTCATGTCGTAATTACAAAGTTCAAAATTAAACAACCACCCTTTTTCACTTCAGAATTTTAATAGCGAGTTTTGGTCTTATTTCCCAACAAAAAATTCAAAACACTCAATAAGTGATCAAGATATTCGTTCAAATCGGATCGTTGATCATGAATTTATAGTCAGTTTATTTAATAGGGAGTTTAAGCTTGCAATGTTTTTCACAACCTAAACGTGAACGGAAAATATTTAAGCGATGCATTTGTGTGGGCGATTGGACATACGTATAGGTTGGCGTTTCGATTTAATAGGCTAGCTTAAGTCCCTAATATCAGAAAATAATGACATTTTCAATATTGTCGTCGATCAAGGTCAAGGTCGAATATCGAGTTCAAACCCTGAGAACCAATCCTCTGCTATACAGATGCAACTGCGCAAATTAAAGCAGAATGTGACTCGGAAAAGGGACTTACAGAACTTAACTTACAGAAGTGGATTGCGGATGAGAGTTCCGATGATTCTCCATTGCTTGCAAAGACGGGGAACCATGTACAGGAAGTTTCCTCGATTGTGGAACCTTCCTCTCGTAACACTTGCCGCACGTCATCTGAAACAATGACAAGGGTTATATTAGGCTTTCAAGATATGATATCCCAATGAGCCAATTCACATGCATGATCATTTTACGGATGTGGCCATAAAAGATACAATGAACTGCACTTGGATGGTATTATCACCTTTACATATTGGACTGTACTTCAATATGGAACTGATACATTTCAGGTGATATCGTTACTGCTTGAATTTTCGAAGGTGACATTGATTTTAAAAAACTAAGGTTTCAATAACCTCATTTTGAACCGCGGGCAACAAAGTGAAATCTTGGAATGCTCATCTTTTAGCACAATGTGTTATCGTGTTGATTGTATTTTTGAGCCCCAAAATAGGTTAGCATTTATATTTTCAAGTACTTTGTCAGTAAATGACTTGATTTAATAGTAATAAATAAAAAATATATTTTATAAATGGAAATCGAAAGTAATTTATTACCTAAGTATCATACACAACGAACACAAAAAGTCACTCATAGTCTTTGAAAATGTAGGTCAATATATTGTCGCTGACTTTGACGCACCGGTGGATCTACAGAGAAATGCCCGCGCTTGTGCGGAAAAAAATTGGGGCCCCTAAAACCAAAAATATAAATACATATTTATTGATAATTTGGACTAAAAAGGCCAAGCTTTGACAAAAAGACCCACTTTTTGAGCCACAACGATTTTTGTTTTGAGCAAAAAAATTTGGGGCCCTTAGAATTTTTTCTGGGCCCGACCCTGTATCCGCCAGTGTGACGTACTGTAGGGATGTTCGAGAAGATTCGGCTTGTTAAATTTTATATACTTTACCTTTACACAACTGGTGATATTCATATTTATTTAAAGTTTTAATTAATATTGGCGGAGCATTAGTCATTCTAAAATATATGAATAATACAAAATTTCCACAAAAAACAACTTGAAACACTAATAACACAACTAAACACTGATTAAATGAGCAATGGATGGTTTGTCTTTACTCAGTGTACTATGCCAATGATATATTTTGGAAATCTAAATAAGCAGCAAATATCCCGCAGGAGATGCAAAATTGAGTCTTGCTGCAGTGAACGTATGCTGTGCATGCCCCAATAGTCCACTTAGTTTTGAAACCACGCTATGTTAGTAGATTTACAATGTCCTACAACTGAGGATATGTCATTGGGAGTCACTTAGTGAATTGTTTCTATGGCAATAGTGTTGTCATGGTGATACTGATATCGTAATTCGCTCACTGCTAGGCACGTCGATTATCTCTGCATTTCCTTCTTTTGATAACTTTCAAGCTCAGTCATTTACGATGGTTTATAATTTATCTTTGAAAGTCTGAACGAATATCACGTATTATATCCCAGCGATTTTTCGTGAGAAATTCTCTATGCGGTGAGGCTGCTTTGGACTTCAAAATACCAAACACCATTCTGTACAACAGTGCTAGCATGTCCAAGTGGTCAGGAATCGCAGCGGTACTTGTAAAGTCGTCATCCTCCAAAGAGTAATCATCTCCTTTGACCTTTACACTGCCATCGAATTTCACTTTAGCTATCTCGAACACACGGAATAGAACATCTAATAGGCATGATCCCGTAGCCGCATCGAGCGATACTTTCCCATCCTCTTGTCCCATGGCCAGCTCTTTATTTGTACACGCTTTCTGATGTTTTCGAACCAATTGTGTAAGAGCGTTCGAGTCGTATGTCGTTACGTCCGGGATGAGCTGAATTTCAAACAGTATGCACTTCAGAAACTTTAATACGAGGCGGTGCCTTGGCGTTAGAATGGCGGTGTTGTAATACCGTGACAGAGTCCATGCTTTCATATGAGGCGACGTTCTCTTTTCGAAAGGGAGAGCAACATAGCAACCATCGGCTGTTTTGGAGTTGGCGTCTGAGAGACAGAAGCCCAGGTCAACATCCACAGTGCAGTGCTTCCCGCCTATCCTTATGCGCACGCATGGTCCGTGGGGATATTTATCCAATATCACTTCATTTTCAGCGAGATCCGGGTTGTAATTATTATTCTCAAATGATGATATTAAATGTTTATCATCATATTGTTCCTTGTATCCATCCAAAATGCATTCCAATAACATTTGATCTTCCTTCGATCGACCTGGGATCAATTTTGAAATTGACTCCCATGATCTGCGATTCGGCCCCAATTCCTTAATCCCTTTGTAAGTTATTCCCTCAGTTTTCTTCAGGCATCTGTGAACTGCCCCGTGCAACGCATCCCTTATGACTGTCGTCACATATTTGTTCTCGGAGACGAAGATCGCCTTGAACTCTTTCGCTGCTTCTTGAATCATCTCTCTCGACGTATCGTCTTTTACTTCTATCAAACATTCAATCGCACCCGGCGAAAATTTCTGTATAATCTTGATGTATTTTGAAAGATTGGTTAATGGTAAGAGGTAACCGAATTCATTTGAGTTTATCAGCGATGTCTCTCGACTTCCAGTGCCACCATCACTTGCGGCTAAATCGCAAAACATATCGACCCTGTCAAGAATATCAACTCCATCAAATATTGAATGCACGTCTGGAAGCTTATCACAAAGCTGTTTAACAAACCCACGAATGTGTTCAAAGTGAGCCTTTTCATCAATCGGACTGTCTTTAGATTTCGATTCTTCCAATACCGCGTGTAGAAGGTTAGTAAATTCTTGAAGTCCGTCTTTGGTAAAGCTGTTCACATCTGTCGCTTCAATATAACCAAGCAAATCCAAATCCTCTTTAAAAAGTATTTTGCTTGGCATTTTGCAATTGTTATCCGCGTTGTCTTGCGAATTGTGCACGAAATGTTAGAATATATTGTTTAAGACAGAGACTTGTTTGTTTTTGGGTAACATTTTTATTTGCATAATAAATCATATAACTTAGCACATTTATGATGGAACGCCGAGGCTGAGAGCACGAGAGGTTTGTCTTTATTATTATAGAGTGTAGCATTTGGCATCATTAATACGTAATAAAACAGGTTAAACTTAAAACTACGAGAGATATCAACATGAAATTTTATATAATCATATATTTTAAGTGTGTTTGACTGTTTGAGAGGAGAGTATAAAGCACTGGTGATCCAATCGATTACGCTGGTTACTGAAACCGTTTCGGTAACAAAATGTCGGAACGTCGATTTTTTCCTTATTTCACACGTTGTAGGCAGAATTCCCAAGACATTTTTCACACAAACGTGTATCAGTATCATATGTTTAAGAAAATATACATATTTGCGAACAAATAGTTCAGAAGACAACAGAATCTTCGATTTAAATCCTCACTTAAGTTACAGAAACGGTATTTCGGAAACAGTTAAGATCTGCACTTTTAACCTACGCCGTTTCTGTAACTTAACTGAGGTATTAAATCGACGATTCTGTTGTCTTCTGAGCTATTTTTCGAAAACATGTACATTTTCTAAAACATATGATACTGATACACGTTTGGGTGAAAAAATGTCGTGGGGATTCTGCTAAGGAAAGAAGAAAAATCGTACCTTCGACGAGTGGATCACCAGTGTAGAGGTGTGCATAGCCGATGCACTTCTTCATTATCGTTAAATATAGTTTTTTGAAGATATCATTAACTCTAATAATTGTTGTTTTCGACTTGTGATAAGTTCTTTGATTATTAGTGGGGTTCAGGCATTGCTTCTACTTACTTTAGCTAAGGATCATATAGGCTGTCACTGATTATGCTATATAGATATTTCATGAAAACCTAAAACCTCTTACGAGTCTTCCTCATCGCATCATCACTTGAGCAAGTTCCAGACCAAAAGTAAAAATGTGGCTTTCTTCATCCATTATGTGGTTTAATTAATTAATTATACAATTAACGTCCAATGAGGGCTCTTGATTATTCTGAAAAAACACCCCTGAAAGGTAAGCGTGTTGGAGATTACAGTCGTTTGATTGATGAATAAACACAAGGGACGCCCTTATCTCGAACTCACGACCTCATGGTAAAGGCGATAGCGCCTGAAATGGTCAGGCACAAATTAGTATGTTTGATTGATTCTAACTTTTAAAGTATAAATAGTATTAAATACAATGTCTTATCTTGACAAAACGAAACTATTTTTCTCCCAATGGGTCATAAATCTTATTGAAGAAGGACTTTTTGATGTGGTGACGTACCATAAAAGTAATGATCGATATGCCCCGTGTATTTGTAAAACATGATACAGGCTTGTTTTGTCCTAAATATATTTTTGTGTAAGTTTAGCTGTTTGACAAAGCCTACGCAAACGTATCATTTTGCTGACTCCAAGGGATTATTGCTCCCTTTCAATTAGTTTTTCCAGGGACTTAATAATATGTCAACTATTTTCCTTCTAGCTGCTCATTCGGGCAAGTAAATAGAGGACCGTCATCCTATATTCTCAAAGAAAACGTCAAGCTTTCTATTATCACAGAACCTGTAACTTAAGTATGGGGGACAATTCAACAATTCAACTTTCTTCTCAGTTGTAACCAAGTCCCATTTTCGTTACTTTAATGATCTGGTTATCTAGTCCCTCCTAAGACAGCAAACCCTTGTGATCGAGAACCCTAGAGTTAACTGTCAGCCTGACACTGACCACCAGGGAAATGTGTGAGTGTATATCTGTTACATGAAATCCATTCTGGTGAAAAAAGAGTACATCGGCTTTGGTAAACTTGCATATTTATATTGTCATAAAAATATGAACACATTTATGATGTCAATAAAATTTTACTTGGCTTTTTTGAAAATTACTAATTTGATGTCTACTCTGACTCAAGAATGACATCATAACCAATGAGAGTTTAATGATTTACTAGATTGGTCTCCAAATAATAACTCAGATGCAGGCCTGTCAACTGTCCCGCAATTTGCGTATTTGTCACGCATTTGCTGAAGAATTTGAAGTCACGCCCGTTATTTTTGCGTGACAGAAAATGTCACGCAAATACGCATTTTACCTGGTAATTGTCAAGCAAAAATATTTCTGTAGAAAAATTTCTAAAAAAGATCGTCTACACAGCAAAAATACGAACGCCGGAAAAAAACGTACGCATTTCGTTCGGACTTTTCACGCGAATTACGGATGTCACGCATTCTGTTTGAAATGAGATGTAATAAAATTTAAACCAAGGTGTTCAAAATTTGGATCAAGGTGTTCACATTTGGACCAAGGTGTCCACATTTTGAGGGGAGGTGTTCAACATTTCCAAGTCACTCATGTTAGGTGTTCCCAAGTTGACAGGCCTGCAGATGAGATTGAGTATGTGTCACTGGGTGGATCACTTTTAGGTTACAAACTTATTGCTCATCCCTTGATGTATTTTGAGAGCCTTTTCCTGCAAATTTATTGAGCGTCCTCGTATGTAAAGTATTGTCTGTTGAAATTATTTTTGAGAAATAATTCATTTCCTGACATGAATGTTGACGTTACGTCACTAGACCTCACGAGATCTATTTGACGAAGTGGTCTTTGATGTATAGCTTCAATTTATTTGCTCAATTTTGATGATTACTCTACGGTATGATTACTAGCTTTCATGTATATTTCTTTATTGAGGCCATAAATTGATCATCGTAGACTTATACATTATTTAATCCTCTCGACTTTCTTATACATTTAATGTCTGGTTAGACCCGTTATATATTTTCTTTACATTGGCATTAATTAAAAATAACAATGCGTGTGTTGATATAAACAGCTGTTTTGATCAGCTGACTAATATTTGATATCAACACCTTTTAAACGATTTTCGTAATTTTCTAGAATTTACGGGGTCTTAAACTCGATACAATTATTGGTGTTAGAAATATGCACTTTTTAATGATGATGTTTCGGGATTTCGAATGTTTGTTTGGTGGTTTTTAAAAATGTACCAAATTCATGAATAAATCATACGCCCGCTTATTTTGGCTTATTGTAAAAGATCTAAACGAAACGAAAGTGGTCGCGCAAGAGTTAATAATTATTACTTATAATATGGCCAACGATTAATTGATGGACTTTCCATTCCTCTCTGGCCAAGTCTATTCCAATAAGTCTTAGGTTGATCTCACGCAAAATAACCGATAATAACATTATACGAGTCACTAAAATTATTATTAATAAAAAATAAAGGGGAAACAATATGGGGAAAATGTAGAATATCATAACACATAAAAACGTAAACATGTGTAATTCTAAATGTTTTTAACTGAAAACTTATCTTTAGTTTGTAGAGGTATACAAGATCTTGTGTACCAATATAAAAATCTATGATACGGAAACAGTAAAATGGGAATATTTCATCTTACCTGGTATAGAATCGCACCTTTGCCACAACCCCGCATTAGTAACTACAGGAACATATGTTGTAACCATGGTCACGTTTGTCGTATTAGGTGATACTGCTGTTGTTATGGTGATTGTAAAATATATATCATCTTCATTTGATCCACCTTGAGGTCTAAATATATCTACATTTTCTGTAATGTTTACAGCGGCTACTAAATCTCCATGGTCAAATTTCACTGTTTCCCAGTTTGTTGATGCAAGCGCTGTTGCCATGACGACGCACGTTCCTATTGAAAAGATGAACGGCGGAATGAAATACAATTTGGATGTGGAAATGCGATCACTCTTTGGCACTTTGATGATGTGCCCTCTGTTTTGTCTATACATTTCACTTCTTGTCAGAGACGAAGGACTAGACAAATCATCCTCTCGAATTTCATCCATTGTAATATCACTCTAATGAGACGATTAAACACTCAATAATCGTTAATCCAACATTCCGACGTTCGGTTTTTGCGTGTATACACGCTCACTAGCGTTTTAAGTAATAGAAACGATTAATATCATTATGCTATTTCTATTATTAGTACATTTTACCGTATGCCAATATCCTTGATATATAAACAACTGATTTGTAGTTTTATTTTTTTTTCAAATTCAGCTCTTGGTGCATTTTTCATAAATGTACAACACAGATCTTGTTTCTGATATATAAACAGCAGCAGATATCGTTGTTAAATGTGTCTTTCCCGTTGTGTCATGTTAAAATGCCATCGCGTTTTAAAAATTCATAATTTGACTTTGCAAATTCAATATATAACCGTTGTTATTAAATTATTAATTGCGACTCTTTGCATCCCTCTGTGTAATGTTTGTCAAACCTATTTATTATTTAGAGCCCCTGGGGGCCGTTCTTGGTACAATCGTAACTTACGACCGTCGTAACTTACGACCCGTCGTAAGTTTAAATATTTACGACCGAGTTACGACTGGTCGTAAGTTACGACCGCGGTGTTTTTGGAAGCCGTCGTATTTTAGTCGTAAATAGCCATACTTACGACCGGTCGTAAGTAGTAACGTTATATCACATGATGATCATGTGATTCTTTTACGCCTAAAAGTGCGCCATTGTGAAATTTAGAATCAATGCGTCATTTGAGATGTTCAGAATATTTTCATATAGTATCAATTATTTTTATATTTACCTTAGATAAACAAAAATTGACATTTTTAGAAATTTATTTTAGCATTATATTATACATAATATTCAATACATAAAGGTTACAGTAATAAACGACATACCACGTTACGTTAACGAACAAATCACTACCGGAGTTTCTCGCGAATAGGCCACGGGCGTTTATTTTGCACAGGGCGTTTATTTGAACAAATTTTTAATAAACGTCGATGGGCCGTTTATTCGGAGGGAAAATGGCTTTCCCAAGTCTGGAATTTGACGCCTTTAACAAATGGCAGGTGGTGACATATTGCATGTTAATGTCTTGTTGATATCTTTTTAACTGATATTCTTCTTAGCTGTGGGATGTATTGAAAAAGGCGAAATGTCAACAGCGTGCAAAGGTCAATATTTTTTCTTTAAACATCCCCAAAGAGACCATGAATATGCTTGTCAAAAAAGGAATTTAACCCTAACTCTAACCCTAAGACCATGATTATTTGTGTCAAAAAATGCCCCAAAAATGAGTTCCATAAATACAATAAACTTGTGTGACATGTACAAGAAAATTAAAAAAACGATTTTAACCATAACCCTAACCCACGGATATAACAAGTAGAGATAAACAAATAGACATCAGTTTTTGATTTCTATATCAATGATTTGACAGTTTTGATATTTTTGATCAATGTTTTGACAATTTTGATATTTTTAATATTTTTGATTTTTGATAATTTTACTTCAAAGTTCCAAAGAAGTGAGGCTTTTTTGACAGGCATTTTCTCTGCAATAGGTCAGCCGACTTCTTTGAATATTTTTGGTTATGGAACTTAAGGGTATCATTAGAAGGTGCTATAAATAATATGTAAGGGAACAGAGGCCGAATTATCCGGTCAGCGCTTTCACACCGGAATAGTCTGACAACGGTAAAGTCAGATATCGTTGTCACAAATGGCGGACATAACCGTCACTTCATTATTATTGTTATATCTTTGTTTTCCCATTATTCAAAGATCATCATTTCATAGGATTTTATCGTCGCTAATTCTGTGCATGTATTAAGCTCTTGTGATGATGTATCATATGAAATCCCAATTTCGATCAAATTCGGTCACGAATCACTACAATATAGCGTCTTCGATATCGTCAATGATAACGGAATCTGAATTTGAAATAATTTACAAAGACAACGGCATATGGTAAAACAGTGTCCGTTGTTCCGTATCTCAATTTGAACGGTTAAATTAATAAAAAATACTTTATTTTGATGGTAGAACATTATTAACTGTACAATGAGTATAAAGACACTTGATTGTTGTTTCAAAGGAATTTGAGTCCAGGTGCTCTATTAAACATACAGTTCATGAAAATCTAATTGAAGCGACGGTTATGTCCGCCATTTGTGACAACGGTATCTGACGTTACCGTTGTCAGGCTATTCCGGTGTGAAAATAGCGCATTTAGGATAACGCAAATAAATTGAAAGCGCAGGAAAGGATTGGTATCTATATAGTGAACACATGTTTTTCTTGAACGAGTCATCAAAACATTCTGTGAATTTTACATATCATCAATATAGTTAATGATCATATTTTCAATGGCAACAGTTTAATTTGAAAAAATGTATATATACTTTTCTCTATATTGTTTTAGAAAACACATCAAACACTTCTTTTGTTCTCGGTATCATATGTTCTGAATGAAACGAATCTATCCGAACCTTATTGGAACAAAACGACATATACACAACGTGTTTCGGTCTCTCAATATTGTAATTGTACAAAGGAAAGTTTGGTTGATTTAAAAAGTATCTTGTTAATGAAATGAAAGGCTTACTTTGAGTTTTATCTATTTTGGGGACTTTTGTTTTAATTTTTTGAAAACTTTCTGTTAAATTAACCAAATTTTCCTTTGTATAACTTTAATATTGAGCGGTTTAAGAAAATGTTGAATATACTTTTTTCTTCCAGCAAGGTTTGGAAAGATATTTAATTTCATTCTCCCGAATTGAAAGAAAGGAACAAAAAAAGAATTGCACTAAAAATCAAAAAAACAGTTACAAAAAATATATTTTAATAATTTTCGCATTAAATTGTTGTCAATCAGTGACAATTACATCAATGACAGTGTTTTTTACACAATGTTTTCAATAATTGGTTTGTCACATATTTTTTACCGATTTGTCAGAGAATAATCTGTTGTTAAAATAATGTCTCGTGAATTTTAATTATTTAAATTAAGATGAAAATCATACATTTCGTACAATTACAGGGTTCGAGTTGACAACGCACATTTCTGATTTTTTAAATTACAATAAATACTTGAATATTTATTAATCTCCACCCGTCATAAATTATGTAGTTTAGAGAAACATATTCTCATAAAAATTATCGACACTCTTAGGCGACAGGGGAAAAATGTGTGAAATAAAGTCTGAAAAACCAAACATTTTCCAACCAATCAATTTTTGTGGGTAGATTAACTACGAAAAAAATGGAGCATTGCTCGAAAATCTTTTATTAACGTAATCAGAAAGCTAAAAGTATTTCAAAGCGAATACACACGAAATTAAAGATGAAATCTTTCAAGTATTCCCAAGACTAATTTTTTTAAAACCTACATCACACCTGCATCATAGTAAAGTTTTTGCTTTAAATCAATTAGTGTGACACCGTACCTCGGTGTACAACGGTATACTTTGTCACTGTACCTTGTCGATGGTCAGGCGTGCTCATAGGCATATTCTAATATGGGCGCTCAAATAAAAATGACTGCTAATTTTGAAGGGTTGTCTTTGATAACTGGTTTTCGGATTTGCTTAGAATTGTAAAAGCTTACCAATGGTCATTGGACGAAGGACTTGTGCTAGAGATTTTCATTTCCGATGGATACTTTTTGCAAAGTTAGATAATTTCCCCTCATCACCCCCTCGGGTTTTCACTCGTCTTTTCAGGGGACTATAAAGAAGAAGAACCCAAAAGTTCTAGCTACGGTATTGAGTAAATAAGGGAGACCCTGAGAATCTTGGCAGTAGCATTGTATACAAATATCGTAAAATATGCCATGTATTTTTCCTGATAAACTTTAATATAATTTCTATTTTTCATTGCCCCTTCGATTCGATATGCCTTTTGGAGCTTTGCTTCATGGGACTCCGTGGGACTTTATGAGCTTCTTTGGGACTCCGTGGAACCCAAGGAGATTCCTTTGGACTTTGAGGGAGTTTGTATGACTAAGTCCCATGAAGTCTCGTCGAGTCCCATGAGCTAATCCCTTTTGAGAATCATATGCTCTTTCCATGCTCTGAATGTAGTTTAAGTTGCTGGCCAAGAGTTGTATGTTTCTTTCAACCCATTGAATATGAAGGGGACTCAGCCTTTGGATATGTTAGCATTTTTAACGTTTCTGCAGACATATTCACTTTATTAAAAACACGAGATTTGGAACCGTGAAAATACTTTGGGGCAGACGGCGGGGCATGGCATGTATACTCCATGTGCAAGATATTCCAATTACACCAAAATACAAATATTGATGCCAAAAATTGGCCACACAATGGCGAACGGTCAGCCCATATGGCTAATGTGACAGCTACTTTACCAAGTTACGACGGAATCGTAAGTTAAGACACCCCTAACCCTGGTCGTAAGTTACGACTGATTTTTTAGCAAAAGTCGTAACTTACGGAAATAGTTACGACGTTCGGAAGTTACGACGATGTACGAAAAACGCATTTGTTGCCAGTCGTAGTAAGAGAACAATGACTTACGACCGGTCGTAAGTTACGACCGTTTCCAAGAACGGTCCCCTGTGTCTAGTTTCCAACATAATACTTTATTATTATGTTCCGTGGGGCAATCACCAAATATAAACTGAAATGTTCAAAAGAAAAATACACGCTCCTTATTATATATGCATGTGACGTCACAACATCATGTCGACCCACATCGATATACAATTTTGATATTATTCCAGTTTGAAGCGCAGTTAAATTGTAATATAAAGATAATGAATTTATTAGAAAATAGTTAGAAATGCGCACAAGCAACATTCCGGGATGTAGAAAAATGAAAAATATTTTCTGCTTTATTTTTTGGGGTTCCTAGCTAGAGACAAGAAGCTGCCACTGGATAATGACAAGCGTCCCTATTAATGAAAACCTCACTAGGCACTAATCATTAATTATTTCGTGTCAGCTCTTGTTAACGTGTGTGGCAAGGGCGAAATGTTCCGTAAGTCAGTATACACGACATAGTCCTGCATATTTCAAAATGTCCTTACTAGAAAATACAATTGCGGTTATAATTAACTTCAATGTTAGCCTATTTTTTATCCGTTTTTCCAGACCCAAATGAAGAACCGGGCACATACGTGGATTAGTTGTTTATGAATTATTGATGGACGATAGTAGTATAGTACTATAAACCTACCTTTTATCAATCCCCTCGTGACGAATCTTACCTCGGCAATAGTGTGATAAACCAGCGTTGTAGTCCTTTAGATGTGATACCGGGGAACAATACAAAGATTATTAAAGCAATTAAGATGCTCACTGGAGTATTCTTGACATTTCACTCAAACTTGGTATCATTATCTGATTGAAATAGATCTTAAGTGGGTATAAGAAGTTGCTTCAACGACCATATTACCAAATTCGACAGCTCGAAATATATTCGACTGCTCGGCCATGTTCAAATACTCTAGATGCGAGTAGAAAAAATCTTGATTTACGCCATTAAATATTCAAAATTCAGTCAAAGCGATGTTATATTTGAAATCTACATGTAAAAGTACATCTAAAATATGGTTTCGAAAATTGTTGATCAGGTTTGAAAATTTAATTATTTTTAAAAGTGTGACTTAATTCTAGTTCGGGTTGATTCTCCATAGAGCCCATGTTACAAAATCACAAAAAGTGAAATATCTTTTCTTGCTTTGGTCAGATAACATTTTCATTTACTGGACATATTTTGATTTGCATAACTATTAGATACATGAGGGTTATATGAAAATTGAACCACTAAAACAGATGTAATTTAAGTTTTAGGGAACTTTCTAATATACCCGCCATACTATCTGACCCGAATGAGCCACCTGGTGGTGAAACTGGTAACTACCCACTCGCATCTGCATTATTTACCCGGGTGCTCGGTCATGTCCAAATTTACTCGGGTGCTCGGTCATGTCCAAAATCGTATCAGTCATTAGGCAAATGCAGAAATAATTCACATTTTCCGATAAGTGTCTTAAGACATGAAATATAAATATCCTCATGGGCATCACAATGATCCAAAATAGGTGGGCAAATTAAACTTTATTTCAACGTCTTTGGGTCGTAATATTAAAAGGCCCCAATACAAGCAACATGTACAATTTTATTTTTATTCTGTTAGATTTTCGTGAGGCCAAAGTTTTGCCCCCTTTATTGGTTTCCAGGACCGCCCTTGTATATCATGTTTATACTGATTCATCTCTACAGTACTCCAAAACATACAGCTCTCCAGGCTGAACAATTTAGACCGACATAAAAGATGGCAGTAGCGTAGTTCAAATTTATAATCTCAATAAAAGAGTATGTATTGTGAATGTATTGCCATCTTTTTATGATTGCTTTAGCACCAAGCCTGTAATCATGGACCTCTATCCCCGCCCATTTCTGTTTAAAACTCAGAATGTAAAAATCAAATTGTGTAGTTGGAGTATTTTATGTCTGCTGTGTCAAGTTCTACAAGTGAAGCACAGCTGTCTGCTGTATATTTCTGATATTTCGGCAAAAATTGGGACAATTTGGCTGCTTGGATATGAGTTTTCAGATTCTAGTATATGTATTAGGTGTCTTGTATTTGGTAAAAATCTTAATAATCGAGTAGCGAGCAGGAAATTCTTAGAAAATGATGTGAGGGCCAGTCGGCTTACTTGACAATAAGTTAGAAAGATGTCTTGGACGATACGTCCACCTAATTGAAGACTTCACAGAGTGGAGTTAATCCCCGATCCCTAGGAAGCATTCCCCCAAGGAATCTTTCACAAATTAAATGCATTCTTGAAACTAGTAATCTTGACCATGTCTTACTTTCTGTAAATAGGGGTGCACCCATATGTTTTCTATTTAATAGAGTCTTTCAACGTATTTTACCAATTTATAACCCGATCCCTGATACCTCCGCCATTTTCTTTTAATCTTAATTAATTAAAGGTGAAGCTGAGACTTGATTGTTTACTTCAATCAAAGCATTGCTTATAATGAATGAAAACAGATATATCAATCTTCTAGCACATATAATTCCCTTGAATCATTTGTATAAATATAAGATTAATAACAATAAAAAATAAAATGAAAAAAGCACATATTCCCAATCACCCAAGAAAACCTTCGATTAAAAATATCAAACTCAGATTCTCTTGAATAATCATTTTTGAGGTAGAATTAAAAGCAATGTGAACTTAAGGTGACTCGTTTCTTATAAAAAAGAATATAAAAGAACCACAGAAAAAGTTTGTTGTTCAAACGATTGTGAATAGGTCCATAGAAATTCAGAATGCAGTTTTAGTAAAGAACATTTCTAAACACGATAAATACAATTTCTGCCTCGCAATGAATGAATACACAATTTCGGGCGCAAAACTTGAATCACCAATTTGGGCGTGTCATTCTATCATCTATATATAGCTTTTATATAGTCTTAATATTCTCCAACACTGCATTCTCATCAATTTTTGGACTTGAATACTGTAAACAATATTTTTGTTCATCACATGAGTATCAATTCAGAAAAAACGTTCAGTGTAAATATGGACAAACAAATATGCGATGTCAGAAGGGGTCTGTGACATTTCTCTCATCGACAGCGTTACTCGTATATATGGAACATTTTCCAACATATCATTGATTTCCTCAATTTGCCCTGAAATGTCAACGAATGGAAATTGTTCAAATATTCTTTCTCAATGTGATCAGGAAAAATGAACCAAAGTATTTGAATTCAACAACATTATTTATGATTTTCACTGAAATTCACTGAAATTTTGGTAAAATAGCGTTTTTAGACTTTCATGGAATAACTTTCTTAATTGGACATTTTAGAACAATCGTTATTTGCATGCTTTCAATTAACAATAATTGTTTTTTTGCAATTGGTATATAGTTCAGTGTAAATCTTAAACGCTGTTCCCATGACCCAAGCACACAAATCTATGAAAACAACTCATTTAATACAACATGTCAATACAAACGAATAGACCAGACTATTGAGCATGTATGTTTTTTTGACAATTACACTTTAAAATGAGTCACGAAAAAATCTGAATATTTATTCTTTAAAATATTTGTTCAAATAAAAATTCTAAAGCCAATTCACAATTCACAGCCTTTTCATGTATTGGTATTGCATGTCTATACAGACATACTTTGAGAAAAAAGTCGCCATGTGCATATCTTCTACATGTATGAATGTTCTGTAGAATTGAAATACTGAAATAAATGGAAGCCAATATAGCAAAGTAGTGTTACCAATCAGACACGGGGCTGTGGTTTAAAACCCCATCCGAATGTTTTGTGAAAATGTTCCAAAAATATGTGTCTCACTGGTTATGAAAAAAACATTTTATTTTGATATCATATCACAGATACTCTTGAATAAATATATAGATATTAAATCTTATTATTGAATCACTTTATCGCGCACCAATCTTCTCCTCAGTAAGTCTGTATACGCCCATTCGGCTGCCGCTAAACGACGACATAACCAATCTTGTCTTTTTCCTGGCTTTAAAACATAACCCTTGAGAAAATTACAACATGGTTTTAACAAGTCATCTGGTACATTTATTTTAGCAGTCCGATGGCTAATGCAGGACCTGTCAGCATCTGATCTTAGCTTTCGAAATAAGTTTACTTCTTTTGATAAACGTTCCCGTCCGTATGTGTCTATCCTCCGCCAAAGGCTTTTATTGAAATAGTCATACATGACGTGTTCTTGATATAAAAATACATCTAGCTTTTTCTTTGACTTTGCAGATAGGTATTTCAGTGTCTTATTTGAAGAGGACGCTTCATTTTGTTTAATGTAGAGGATGTCTTCCATTGTCCATCCAAACTGATTCTTTAGCATTACTAGACATTCATCAATGTATTCTAGTATCATTACAAAATCAAATTCCTTATCGAATTTTAGGATAATATCACTCAATTTTTTTCGATCATCTATTTCATCATAGGGCAGCCCGAAATCATAGAGAACACCATGGCGCACCCATGTACAAGGGTTACATTTCGAAGAGTTGGATTTGATTGTTTTAAACCGACTCTTTAATGGCACTTCATCTGGAATGGACATCTCTAGATACTCGTTTACTGTACGGTTGCACAGTTTTCCGCCAAACCCGAAGAAGTTATACGAGGAAACAAAAAGCTGTAACAAAGAGAGGATGCAGTCATTAAAGGCCCTATGCCAATTCCTAAGTTTTGAACTTTATATGGGGCCTTTAAAAAGAGTATATCATAAGTTCATAACGTGAGAAAAGTATTAATTTTTAGTTGACACATGCGGTATAATAATAATCAATAATTTAGATTTTTCATCAAAATAAGGGGGCATTTCAAACGTTCAATGTAGGATTACTGACTGTATTTGAACAGTTAATCTGTGACCCCCTCCCCCTCATAACTTTGTTTGAGAAATGTTGCTATACGTCATTGCGTAAAGTCACTCTATAGTCTATATCTAACATAATGTAATGCAGTCAATTTGGAAAGCTAACTTTTAAGGCTAATGACCCCTGTCCCACAACTGTTCAAACACAGTTAATTTTCCGACATCGATCTTTTGAAATGCTCCCTAATTAGCATACACATCGGAACTCATTTCGTGTTGAAAACAGAAACAGTGGTCCAGCGATGGCTGAGAAACTAGCTTTTAAGTAATTAAAGTGGATCTCGGAAAATTAATTTGAAATTTAGTTTCTCTTCATTATGTTGCCGAAGTTTTTTTAGGAAACTAAAATAGTGTACATTTTAACTTATCTATCTAATATTATCCCCAGCACAAATAAGTCAAGAAAAACAAAACCTTGATGATTGAACAGTGTTTTCAAACTATACACGGGGCCTTTATGTATTTTATTTTGTGAATTCCTCTTAATGCAGGGACAGGTAGTTCGTCGTATGTTAAGAACCACTACATAAAGCAAACCATAATATCAATAGGAACCTATACATGCACGGATTATACTCGTCAAATAAATAAGTGAAGCAAACACATTTCATGTTTTATATTTTACAATACTTACACTTTTTGGCTCTCTTAGAATAGTGAGTGAATATACATCCTTTGGCAAAATTTGTTTTACTTCTTTACTGTATACTAAATGATGGCACATAATGTCATATGTTCCATTTGGAGAGACCAGAGGCATGACGCTGTCATTTTTAAAAGGGTGCCAGTACTTAAAGAGATATCGACCTTTGGAGGGCAAGGCTAATGTCAGATTATGTTTGTCAGCGTATCGCATAAGTATATTCTGGATTGTAGAGCTTCCTGTTTTATGAGTTTTTAGAAAAAATATTGGTCGAGTTTTTTTTATTACTACTTGTGTATTTTTCGCATTTTTACTGAGTCCATTCGCTGCAATGGAAACATCCCTTTTTTGTTTTTGTGCCTTTCCTTTCGTGTCATTCTTAATAGGAATTGTTTTATTTTTCATAAGCAGCTCTTGTGTATTTTTACCATTTTCACTGAGTTTCTTCGTTGCATCGGAAACATCCCTTCTTGGTTTAAGTGCCTTCCCATTGTTTTCATTTATTCCATTTGGTTTTGCTTTAATTTTCTCATCCCGTCTTGGTTCATGTGCCTTTCCAATGGATTCATTCATTCCGATTGGACTTGTTTTAAGTTTTATTAGTTTGTCAGTCGCATACATTTGTAGTAGCTTGTAATACAATAATTTGTCGACGAGAACATGCGTTTCATTTTCATTTATATTTTCTATCTTGGCATATATATCTTGATAAGATCCCGTTCCAATCCTCGTCGGTATATATGATTGTTGAAAGTTCCAAACATTATTTAAATACAATAAAAAAGATATCGTAAATACGCCGAAAATCAGTTTTCTTCTCCGGCTCATGTTCGACTGCTAACCAAAATATTAAAATGTTTACACACGAAAACTATATAATATATGCAGCTTCATACAGAGTGCTAAAAAGTCCGAGTTTATGCATACCAATGGAACCTCCAGCCAATCAACGCGACGCACATTATAATATATATCTGAATAGGCAAATGACGGTGTACGCAAGTTGCGGTTGGGTATTGAACTATTGATTCTTTTCGGCGACGCTTGATCGAGGGGATACAAAGAGCTTGCATTTAGTATAATGAATCTTCAGATTGACAGTTAACTCTTACCAGTCTGGGTTGTCTGTTTTTTACCGATCTACCGAGAACCGATTTCGTACCTTGATACGTTTACATATTATACGTCAACCCCTCTGGCACCCCCAATTTTTTTTTGAAAAAATCGCCCATTTCGCCTCCCCCTCCCAAAATAATTGAAAAAATCTGATTTTATTTTATTTATTGTCTCAGACGCTTTAGAAGTGGCTAGACTTCATCAAATAGCAAGTTGAAATGGTCAATGTTTTTGGGGACAACCCCTTGCTCCACCCTGGCGCATCCCCCTCTGGCACCTACCCAAATAAAATCAAATTTTTTTCCAATTTATTTTTTTAATTTATAATTGACACTCACTTTGAAAGTGCCCAGGGATCACCAAATAGCATCTTAAAATTGTAAAATTTTCTGGAGGAAGTGGGCCAGCCCCCACCCCTTCCAAAAAATCTGAATTTATGTATTTATTGTCTCAGACACTTCAAAAGTGTCCAGACATCATCATAGGAAGTTGAAATGGTCAATATTATTATTTGACCTACATACTTTGAAAGTGCCCAGAGATTACCTAATAGCATCTTAAGATTGTAAAATTTTCTAATTAAAGGGATTGGACCACCCCTCGCTCTTCCAAAAGGTTATTTGTTTATTTATTGTCACAGACACGGTAAAAGTGTCAAGACATCATCAAATAGCACTTTGAAATTGCCATTTTTTGGAGAGGCACCCTTGCTCCCCCTCTGACACTCCTCCCAGCATGTCTCTGTTTTCTCGAAATTTTATTTATCGACAAACAATTGTTGTTACACATATGAGGTGCAAAGAAATCACCAAATAACATTTTGAATTTGTAAAACGAGGGGGTTACCCCTTGCACACAAAAAGAGAAATCTGAAAAATATTTTTGGAACTTTTTGGAATTTGTATTTGTAAAGGTCCATGTGCAGCATCGCAAGTGATTTTAGACAGTCATATCTTTCACCATGAGTACTTTCTGGGTATAAATATAGTTTTTAAAAAATTAAAACAATATGTCTTCTTTAAAGTGAAGTCCCCATGATAGTAAAATATCAATCCAACTCTCTGAAAATTATGGATTAGGACCCCACCTTGTCACTTTTTAAAAAATGTAAGACTTATTTTCTAAAAAGAGGATCTTGTTTTTCTCAATTTAAATATATCAAACGTTTCTTCTACACCATATTCATAACTTCTGAAAAGGGGATGGGTATTGAAATGCGATAAAGTTAAAAACCACATTTCCCATGTTATTTTCCCATAAGGAAAACTCATGCTATCCATTGTTTTCAGCATAATTTTGGTCATCGAAAATTGATATCTTCAAAACTAGACCTTCAATACCATTCTACTTTTGAAGATGTTTTAGACCCATTGTTGAATAATCTTTTCATGCAATGAAAATCAGACGAAGAAGATCCTCTTTTGAGCAAATAAGTTCAACATTTTGAAAAAAAATTCGTGGGGGCCCTATTTATAATTTTTTGAATTGTTCAATTGATATTTTTATCATCATGGGGACTTTACTTGAACGAAAACATATTGTTTTAATAAAAACCACTGTATTTATGCCTAGAAAGTACTCACGGTGAAAGATATGACCGTCTAAAATCACTAGCCATACTGCACATGGTCTTTTCCTGAAATTCCTGAAGACTTTAAGCCATGAGTTATTGTAAGCTTCTAAGAGAAAATGGAAAATTAATTTCATGTGAATGAATTACGTAACTCGTTGATATCTTTGAACAAAGGTGTTATTTCATGCTAAACTTATATAGACTTTAATGAGAAATCTAAAAAATACATTTTACATCAATTAATTCTGTCTGTTTGACTTGGCTAAAACATATTTAGTCAGAATTAGTCTACTTCGTCTTCTCACCCAGTCTAGAAAAATCCCTGGATGAGCCAACATTAACATTAATGTCAGATACTAGTAAAATCTGTATATAGCCTAGTGAACACCTATGGAAAGTGTAGGTAGGTGTCCATTACCGAGAGAGTATTTATACTGGAGACAATATAAAATGTGTCTTGATGTGTTGTTCACTAAACATTCACTCCAGAGAGATGTTCACTCAGACAGGGTTTAATCACTTGCCATACTGCACATGGACTTTTAAACACTCTAAAAGAGCCCCGAAATCATCAAGGGTCATATTGAAACCAAAAAATGTCTGGTACCAAAAGCCCAAATCATTTATTTACCCTAACACCTTAAAAATGCCCAGAAATAACCAGACAGCATCTTGAACCAGTAACATTTTCCGGAGGGGCATTTATTTTTCATTCCCTCTCGTTCCTTCAAAAAGAAACAAATGCAAAAAAATCCGAAGTTCTTTAAATTGATTCTATTTATTCAAAAATAAATAAATCACTGAATGTTATCCTGAACATGGTGAAAGTTCCTGGGAAAGGTTTATGCTGCGGGCCCTTCTAGCACACACTCTCCCTATTCTAATATTTCCCCAGATTGCTCAAAAAAAAGAAAAGCGCTTACTTGGGGGGGGGGGGGGTTATGTTAGGGTGTAACTGCCCCCCCCCCACCTGACCCATATATGCCGTTGATTTACGTGGCAAAAATTGACCAGTCTATTCTTTTTAGTAACAACCGCACCCCCCTTGAAGAAAAGTGTCCAACGGGCCTGTACGTACGCTGACTAGTTCTCACGATTTCTTATTTCACAGTATTTACAGTTTATGTGATAAGTTTAAATAATACAATATTCCTCGAGCTCGTTTACAACGGATTGGACACGCCATTTGAAGAAACTTGATCTATGTCGAACAATCTATTTCTATCTAATATGTCATATTATGGGCACCTAATACTCCCTCTTGGGGGTCATAGCCACTATAACCTGTAAATATGTTACATTGATTTTAATAAAAAAGAAACAAAAAAAATAATATGGATATTAGAAAGCGGTGTTAGCTGCTTGACCAATAACTGCGACGTACTGTTGCTATCGCGAATAATCAAGAAAAGTAAAAAGAGACAACCGGAGGTGGATTTACATCTCTATATCTGATATCAACCCCCTCTCCAGAGAATACGCGAGTAGTAAACCCCACAGTCGACCGAAAAGGGTTAAATATTAAACTGCGAATTATTATTTACTTTTGAACGAATGTGCTTATCGTGTTTCTTTATAGACAGTTTTTTTGTGCTTGACGTGTATTTAGGTTTTTCATTCGTATGTAGAATTTAAATCGGCTTCAGAATGAGGACACATAAGAAAAAAGTTCGTTTGTTAATAGTACTGTTAGTATTTTTCATGGGATTTAAGATTGGTGTGTTCACAACAAGTAACACCTATTCAGGAATTAGGAAACACGACGACAGTTGGAAAGGACATAATCCAGCCAGGACACTGCCTTCTGATGAGAGGTCAAGTCACACCACAAATGATTCTCTAGTCCCTAACATTGTTCACTACATATGGGTTGATCTCAATGGACGATACAAGTTCACCTTTCTACATGCAGTAAGCTTTATTAGCGTCCATAAGAACTGGAGACCCGAGGAGATTATTGTGCATATAAATAAAAACAATCAACCCAAGGGACAGTGGTGGGATTATGTTACCTCTAATGTAACAACAAAGATACGATTTTTATCCTATAATATGAGCAATATCGATATTTTTGGAGAAAAACCGAGATATGTTGAACACATATCAGATATAATGCGTATTCGGTTACTAAAAGGTATGGTATCCTTTTTCACAACGCTTTTCTTTTTTTGAAATTGCAAATAATGTGTAGTTTGTGGAAATACTATTAATAGTATTTAATGCAACTTAAGTTTTTTTTGTAAAAAAACGTAATCCATTTGAATTAAGTCCCCTGCTGTGATGGTCGAGAACCACCCCCTCTCTTCCATAAATGGATACTCTCATTGGCAAGGGGCGTAGCCAGCTTTCAGTCAGGGGGGTGCGATCCCCAGAAAAAATACGTTTTCATTCGTGGGGGGGGTGCGATTGTGGCATAAAAATATTACTTTTGAATTTTACAAAAGTTGATGCAACTTCCTTCAAAATTGCGCCAGAAGCTTCAAATAAAATCATTTTAAAGCCCTTCTCTTCCTCTTCTCATGATTTTATTTTTATTGGTTATTGGGGGGGGGGGGGGGGGGTGCCATCACCCTGGCGATCACCCTGGCTACGCCTCGTTGCCCCATCTATGTATGTTAGACTTTTGTTGCAGGTCAATACGGAAAAGTTACAAATTGCCCTGCTTAACTGATACATGGAAAAGATAAGTATTGTACCCGCTCGAGTCAATACTTGATATATTTTCCATTATATTACTAAAGGGACTGGATTGGTTTGTGTTTCAAATGTCACCATCGATTTGTTGTAATGAACGTACTTTTTTATTATAGAGTACGGTGGCACTTACATTGATAGTGACGTCATAGCTTTACGATCGCTAGACCCCCTCCGGCATTATAACCATACACAGGGAGTAGGAATTGTTGGTGGTGGGCTTTCCAATGGTGTAATAATCGCAAAGAAGACGTCTAAATTTCTCAACATTTGGTTGGAGGAGTATAAAACATACGCCAAGGACGATAAAATTAAAAACATATGGGGCTACTATTCTGTAACAAGGCCAAGGCAACTACTGAAGACATACCCAGAACTAGTCAGAATAGAGAGGGACACTTTGGTAAGACCAGTTGTGAGAGAATATACAAAGCTTGAAACAAGAAAGAAGGTCTGGAAATACAGTTACAGTATGCACGTTTGGAGACGTCTTACATACATACCTAAGAAACCAGAGGATATAAAATTGATATCTAACCAGTCGCTCCTTAGAGACGCAATGGAATATGTGATATTTAATAAGATTCCAGATTATGCTCAAAGCAAAACAAATAGCTAGACAATTTGTTTTGTCAAAACTTGATGAAAAGGGCATATAAATCATGTAATTATATGTAATCAAGAAATAAATACATCTGATTATAGTGTCAGAAGTGGTTCATAATGGGCTTATAAGGAACGTCAGTAGAGGGCGCAAAAAGTGTGTTAATAGTACAAATAAAATTTCAAAGAAAATATTCAAAAGCTAATAGTTAATAAAAATGATGAGAAAATATTAATTTGATTTATATAATGTATTCGACGTTTTAATATTACAATATTGACATATAAACCAATGGGTGAGGTATGAAGAACAACTCACTAGAGAAAATAAGTGAACTGCCATCTATACGAGTCGTCCTACATTATAATTGAATCGTTCCAATAAATCCTGCCACCTTTTGATACATTAAAAAACTATGGTATATTGGCTAAATTGATGGTGTCATTGGTTGTAGGTAGAAATCTGACTATGCAAAAACAAGATTAACTTATTGCCTATTTTAAGAAATACGGAATATTTTATAGATATCAATTGTTTGGTATAATTATTGCAAATGATAGTAATTTGTTAAAAATGATTATTGTCTCCCGTATTTTCTCCTTATATTTGCACATATAACTGATTGTTATTAAAAGTACCTCATGAAGGTGGTTATGTTCATATTTGAGGCGATATTCACCAAGGAGAGTCGCACCCCATTGGTGAGTCTCAACCGGGCAGCGGCGAGAGCGAGGTACAGTGACCTTTTGGGCTTACATCTAATACCACTTGCAAACTTCCACTGTATCATTTAGAGCAATTTATTTATTATAAAAAAGTAAAGACCCCTATACTACCTTCTGAATAGAAATAAACTCTTCCAAAAGTGATAGGACCTTATAGTGCACCCATGCCATCTCTACTAGGATGGTTAGTCTGATGACGATTATAATTGTTTTCTATATTCGGCTTGACCTCTGTGCGTTTGTGTTTCACCTTGTGAAGACTGTTCTCGTGGTAAATGTTTTCGTTGTGACTGCAATTGCCTTCGTGAACTATGTCTCCCCCTGGATTGTCGCACAGGAGATTTCTAGGGATTGCTGTTGCCTAGGGGGCTATATGTTAGTATTACATAACTCCTGCACCAGAGAAGTTGCTCATTTCTTCAGTGATATTCTTTTTTCATATGTGCACATTATTTGCATTTTGGAGAAAAGTCAGGTTTATCAAAATGCCACTTTTCGTGAAGCTTTAATGTCATCATATAGAGGTGGTGACATATTGTTATGGTCTCCAACTGCGGCTGGCGGTCAACAGCTATAGCGTATTCTTTAACCTTGCAATAAGTTAATAGGGACATTTTGTCATGTTACCCTACTATCACACCAAACTAGTTCTCACTACGTTCTCGAAAACGGGCTTCAACTGTGTACGAACGGACTGGACGTACTAAGAACTGTTTGGGGTCTATTTACAAACTTCATCGAACGTACTCGAACGGGTAAGTCCTCTAGAACTTAGAACATGCTCAGAATGTTCTCGTGGTCGATACGTTCTACAATTAGAACGAGTGACAACGTACAAACGACGAGCTGGACGTACTACGAACGGAACCGTCGTACTTCAATCCTACTAAGGACGTTTTAACAACGAGTTGAACTGTCTGAGGAAGTATTGAGAACGAGGTAGAACTAATTGCAAACGGGTTTAAACTGATTAAAAACGTATTTAAGACTGCTTATGAACGAGTTAGCAAAAATAAAGCTATCACACCAAACAAGTTGCCACTGCGTTCTTCAAAACTGGGTTTAAACTGTGTGCGAACGGAATGAACGTAACTGTAACTTTCTAAGGTCTATTTACGAACTTCATGAACGTTCTCAGACGGAATGGTGATTTTAGAATTTTGAATCGATTCAAAATTCGATGACGACCATACCGTTCTGTAATCAGGTCATAATGACCTTCTATACTAAGGGACGCGTTACACGACGTTTGCACACCGACGTAGTGCGACCTGAACGAACTGCGAATGAGATGGACGTATTGAAGACTGTTTATGAACGAAGTAGCTAATTATTTTAGACATATTTCCCGACCACAGCCAGATTGAGCCCGTTTTACGACGTTTTCGTAGGACTGGCAAGAACGGGTAAGAACTAGTTTGGTGTGATAGGGGGGTTAATGCCTTATACGATCTATTGATTATTGCGTAATCCATTGTCTTATAATCTATTGAATATATTGGGTAATGGGTACTGTTTTCGACACAAAACCAGGACGTGTTCTAAGTTTGTATGGTACACAAAAAAATAATTGACATTTTCAGAGGAAGACACAGAAATAGCATTTGACCCGGACGATGTCATGGCAGTAATAGAAAAAACAGGTGATGGTTGGTATATTGTCTGGACCAGATAAGAGACGTGTGATGTTCCCAGCTAATTCTTAGCCATGGCCAGCATAAATGATGGACACATTTGAATTATTTTTCTAAATATTAATATGATGACATTAATTTTAATGGGAAATTATGTGCATGATTGCTGTGCTACGTAAGCAACATATTTAACACACTCTCAGGGGCGTAGCTAGCTTTGAGTCATGGGGGGGGGGGGGTGATCGTGGCATAAGCGAGCCAAAAAAGATATTTTACAAAAATGATGCAACTTCCTTCAAAATTGAGCTAGTAGCTTCAAATAATAAAAACCATTTTCAATCTTATGGTTAATTTATTGCTGGCGGTGACTGTTGCGAATGTCTAAATGAATGGAGGTAGTGTGAAAGTGGTCTAATATATTACTTTTGTCTTGCAATATCATGTTTCCATTGGGCTTTTCTGATTATAATACGTTGCAAACTGCTCGATGAATCTATACAATAATAGAATACTCGAATATATGTAAAATCTCGTATCCATTCAGAACTATGGAAATAAACAAACGTCCTCCATTTGCAACTTCGCTTTGGCCTGTATTTCTTTTAAAGGAATACAGAATACAGTATGGGGGTATAGTAGTGTGAGTTTAGTGGAGCGGAAAATGTCTTTATTTGTTGCTTGATACAGGAATAATAGTTCTATTAAAAAGGGCACCACACCACTAAATTACACACGTCAATGTTTTGGCTGTAAATCAAGCAACAGGGGTCTACGGCGGGGATAAAACCATGAATTAATTTTAAACACCCCACCGGGTAGTATAATTATAAGTATACACTTGGACGTGATTTCTTGTCCTTGAATCAGTGAACCTTTTAGTGTGCACTGTTCCTTACGTGTTTGCTTTTTGATTGGCAATTCTTGTCCAACCTCCACATTGCGTTTCCGCTCAGTCGCACTCTAACAATTTGGCTCAAATACCAAGGTCGTTTGAGAAGTTTTGCACAAAATCTTCTCATGAAAAGGGATTTTCTTATCTTTACATGGAATCTAGTACAGATATAATGTCAACCTTATTTCATGCATAGCTAACATGCCGCGGGACCTTAAGTGATCGTGAGATAAATTGACGCCATCAAATCGAATTCATTTTGTGAATGCCTTGCTGAGCTGCCATGCCAGTCTTTTTCTTTCAAATGTTAGTCAAGTTATGTTATAAATGATAAATATATTAAATCAAAATACATACTACGATGTAGTCTTCCCTTTTAGTAATGTATTACCTATCTGCAGGATGTTAAGCCTTCTCATAACTACAGCTACCCTCGGGACATTTCCCATTCTCTAGTTCCGTCCTGGAATGCCTAATTGAGTCACTATGTAAAAAAATCAAAATTGTTGGCGACATTGATAACGTCGAAATAAGCCGATGAAATTCATTCTCCAAACCGAGAATGGTCCTTTATTAAATTATTATAGTCTTGTTTTGAATCGTTTACCCAATATTTTATAAATTCATGTCAGAACTTTGATAATGGCATAAAATCAGGTGAAAAGTTCAAAATGTTTGTACACCTAGACACACAACTAAGGATTACTTTGATTTTAAATAGAATCTGGCTGTTCTAAAATCTGCAATAAGGGGAGTTAACCTAAAAAGCCAATATGATTTTGAACAGCTGTATAAGTTTTAATCTTCTTAATGAATAACTCCTCCTAAAGGAGAGTGGAACACTCGCTGATTCCATGTAGTAATGTGTCTAACCTTGTATTCGTGAATGCAACTAACGGCTGCCAGATTAACCTTCTGTTTTATGACCAACTCATTTAAATATGAATAGCATATATTTAAATGAGTTGGTCATAAAATAGTGGATTTACCTACTATTTAATGACCAACTCATTTAAATATGAAAAGCATATTTAAATGAGTTGGTCATAAAATAGTAGGTTAATCTGGTAGCCGACAGGCATTACTTGCAGTCGCTAAATATAAAATAAGTGTGAGGAGAATATTTGAGTCCATTCTCTGGAATAATCAAAGGAAAAAAGATGGAAACTATTTATATTAGTTTTATTGTTATCATGAAGGAGCAATTCTAGATATTGTGTTTGACAGTTTACATAGGGTAAATGTAGCCATGTTAATTGATATTGTCCTATTATTTGTGCAAAACTTTTTGAACGACCCTAATACGTCCGTGTAAACTGCAACCAGACTCCTGTTGCTATAAATAACTAGGTACAAAATATAACCAATAAGAGCAAGGGTCACTCAGAGCCTGGTTGCAGTTTGCACACTTCGATACACAGCATATCATTGCCAGTATCGTAAGAAGTTTCAAAGGAGGTGAACGCAAAGCCGGGAAGCAAAGTAAGATTTTTTATTGATGAATTATAATTATAAATACAAAACGAATGATTTAATCAAATCAAAAAGTTTATTTATAAGTTTATTATTGATATCTCGTTGAAAACTGCGATGAAGATAAAAATAAGTAAATTAAACAAGCAAATAAAAATGAAAAAGCAATATGCATCTTGTTCAAGATTTTTGGGAGCACTTCGAGTGTATGAAAAACAGTAATGAATGTATACAGAATTCGAATATAGTCTATTTCGGAAAGTATACACGGGTTTTTCCGACGAACACATTGTAAAAATCTTTTATTTTTCATGAAATAAAGAATGAACATTGAGGATTTATTAAGGCCAGGGTGCATCTTGGGAAATTCTCTGGATTCTGAATTTTTTCACGGAATTTTCTTGTTTTTTATAAACTTTATCAAAACATTCTTCTCACAAGTCTTTCTAGGTACATAAGTGCACTCTTTGTGCAAAACTGGAAGATATAGACAATGTGGGAAAGGAGTGAATTTTGTTTGACTAATGTATAATGACTAATGTTACTTTAATATCATTACAGAGTGAATACTATAGACGATAAAAATATTTTAAACAACGTTTATACATCTTAATTCTGTATTTTTCATATATTATTCGCATGAAGTTTTTCCTTTTTGTGATGGTCTTTCTTAAAATCAGAAATGATTTGTTGACATATAAAACCCATACATGAATATCAAAAAGGCTTTCAATCAGCCAGTATGGAATAGATTGTATTTAAACAAATACAGAACAAAAATAGATTTCTTATCACGGTTCAACTTGAATGGTTATAAAAAGGGTATATTTTCGTATGTGCACGTATTAACCTTAACTGACCCTTTTAGCGATGGGCATTCCTCAATTGATTTATTGACATGCAAAATCCATGTTCAAAAGTGGAACAAATATTGAACGAATACAAATATCTTTCCACGGTTCAACACATTGTGAATTGAAAGAATCGCCAAAAATTGCTTTGCGATTGATAAACCATCATTAGTCTAAGCCCTACATGGCGCAATTGCTTGACTGCCAATTGCAATAATTTTTCACGACTCTTGGCAATGAAAAAATGTTTGCCCCTTGGACAATGTGTGCAATGTGCACGTTACAATCATATACCTTACATATGAACACATGAAGTAATTTACCATCCGTCTGCTGTTTTGTGAACAGTGTTTGGGTATGGTCTGCTATTGGTCAGGACTGGCCGTTCTATGTGGACAGGTCGTCTGTTCCAGGCCTCCTGTACCACTAGCAGGTGACCAAGCTTTACTAGCAGCTGCCATGTTAGCTGTTCTTACGATCCGTGAATGTGATGACTTCCACGATTGTCAATTTGATGTGACTCTACCCGAGGATTATTACATAAGCTATCATCAAGCCAAAATCAATTCAATTAGATTCAAAATTCTATTTACTTTGAATTTAAAAAATAAGCAATTAAATGACCATATTTCAACAGTATATGAATAATAGAAATATATGTACAAGGCCCAACTTTTATATATTTCAGATAGTTATGTATAATGTGCACCTAATCTGCGGCATTTTGTAATTTAGGGAGTATCAGCCATGTTAATTTTTCCGAAAATAACATGGCAGAGGAGCACTAAAATATATGTCAAAACATAGGATAGTCAAATTACAAAACAAACAATAATATGCAAAAGTTAAGCCATGTATGAATGTTTTTATTTTTTTTTAACTGCTTCAATGTGGTCCTTTGATTGCTGATTTTTAAGATTCAAAGTACTCAATGGAATTATAAATCTGACTTTAGACAGCCAGGACAGGAATAAAAATCCATTTTTAGATGTAACCAAATATATTGTCTATGATTTTGTATATTTTGTCACTTTTACTGATTAATTGATAGTGAGAAATTTTGCTTCCCACATAGGTAGCAGTCAGCAGTCAGGAATCAGACATCAGACAGGACCATGAATACATAGTCGCAATGTGTTTGTTGGCATGCGCATGCGTGAGCTTGACGTACGGAGAAAGCTCTTCAAATATAGAGGAGAGTAATCAATATGAAGTATTCGCGAGAAACCTGTTGATGCGTCTCCTTACAGAGGATACCCGAGGATCCGCAGATGGATCCGCAAATTGGGCAGGTGAGATTTCAGAAATCAACTAAGAAAATGTGATTTTATATTTCGAGAATGATAACATTTTGTTACCCTACTATCATACCAAACTGGTTAAAGTTGGAATTAAACCAATTACTTATCAGTGGCGTAGCGTGGGTATTTTATGAGTGTACGCCACGAGTGAGCAAATCGAACTAGCTTTGAGGGGGGGGGGGTTCTTTCCCCCAAGAAAATTTGAAAAGAGATTGCATTTGAAGCGTTCTGGGGCGTTTTAAAATACGAAATTTCGACTCCGAAAAAATGGATTAATAAAATGTTAGGCCATTACTTCAAAATATCAAACATGGGTCATTTCAATATTAAAAATTCACTTTTCTCAAAATTTTGAGAGTACGCTATGGCGTTTTATGCGTATATGACGCTACGCCACTGCTTATTATTTTGTTTTTTTGCACAAATAGCATCCCTTTTGTTATGTTGATTTCAAAGCTTGTGATATTTCCCATCACAACACAATTTATTAAGATAAGAATGTCAGTCTCCGAAATGTTGTTATTTTGCGCACTTTTTGAGGTCACCTGGCCATGACGTACCTTGTGCCAAGTTATTCTGGCGCTAAATCGAAAAGTTGTTGTTGTAAACAAGGAATTGATTGAAATGCATTTGTGAAACCGTTATCGATAACTGAAAATGTTAACCCAATAATTATATTTTGGCCTTTACGGCATTACATTGGGGTTGGAACGTTTTTAATCCCCAAACACTGGCAATGTTTGCTGTTGTATAACTTACATGCTTTCAATAGCGACAGCTCGACTGATTCCGCAGTGAATAACTCGATTTTTAGCCAGCGTTTCATTTTTATCTATAAAATCGTATTTCGCGGCAAATCGTTTCAATCACACACCTAAAATTTCTGCTCTGAAAATGAAATCAGTTTTGCCGCGAAAACAGACTAGTGCTGATATCCCCGATATCATGATAAAATTAATTATTGGAATTGTTGATGGTTCACCATCGTAAAGTGGCTTTCATACGATAAGATAGCATTAATATCTCTAAATCGAGTAAAATGGTTTGAGAACAACTTTAAAATAGTGCACGTGCGGATTGGACGTACTTAGAACCGTTTTGGGTTTATTTACAAACTCGATGAACGATACAGGCATGAATGGGTAGGTTCTCAATAACTTAAAGCATGTTCAAAGGTTTCTGGAAGTCGTTACGTTTAAAACGAGTGACATAGATGTTCATTGAAAGTGTTTAAAATTGCATCACTTATTTGCTTTTCAGAAGGTAAAAGGGAAGACTTGGTAGAATCCGACCTGCTTCTTCAAGGTAGATGCATAAATTATAATAGGACATTCTAATTGTTTGTGTGTACTAGATCTTTAGAAAATTAATTGAGAAAAAATGATGTGATGGTATGTGTGTACTCGTAATAAGTATTAGATTGATCAAAAATCAGATAATCGTCAATGATATTTTACAGAGGAAACCCGATTTGCATCTGAACTGGAATCTCTCGAGCGGGCTATCGAAAACACCAAGAAACAGTAAGTCCCATTGTCATTTTGTTTTAAATAATTACAAACATCCAATATTCTTTATTCGATGTATTTCAAGTTCGAGATGATAAAGAAACTACTTTTTGTAGCTTAAAGCTTTAATAATTACCATATTCGATCGGCTTTCTGAAATCCTTTGTCAGGATGAACAATTTGGGATTGTTTAGTGTTTATTTAAACGATTATTGCCAAGATTTTACCCTGTATTCCTAGTTGCCATTTTAGGGGAACGTTACATAACAACTGGAAATGACCGAACAAGTTCAAACACCAAATCATATTCTATCTGAATATCCTGTATGTTATAGGTGGACAAATGCTGGAGACGATTGCAAATTGCCAGATGGTACCATGTGTGTAAATTATAATGAAGCCAGAAGATGCTGTAAGTGCTCTAAACCCACCTGTATGCCTAAATGCAAAGAGGATACCGGGTGTTGTATCTACAGATCTTACAGAACCGTCTACAACAGTTGTGAACCAGTGAGAAAGTAAAATTTTACGACAGACTTATACCTTTACACGTATTCATTCAGTTTAGGATTTGTACGACTTGTATGTACATGTAAGGTTGAGCATTTATCTTTGATATCATCAAATATCCATTAATGACCATTTTTAGTTTTAGAATTAGACTGTTGTCATCTTTTTGAATAAATTGTTAGTATTTTCAAAGGAAAATACAACTTAAACATCCATAGCACAGTATTATGTTTGTTAAACTTGGATTAAATAAATACACCAGGGGCGGATACAGGATTTCAGGTTAGGGGTTGCGCCTTGATTGTTGAATTAGAGACCGATGTATTAGCAAAGAAAGTCAGAGGCAAGGGGGGGGGGGAGAAACCCCAGGGTTCAAGGATGACATACGCTTATAATGTAAATCTCTATTGAGATGACATCGTCGCTGATTGGTTTAGCGAGTCTATCGTTGATTGGTTTAAAACTAGGTCAATTTGAAAACCTTGAAAACCAAGATGGAGGGTAAGTACTTCCGGGAAAAGAGGTGCGCGAAGGAGGAAATCGTATGTCATCAACTGAATCATGGGGTTCCTCCTCTTGCCAGAGGCCAACCAACAAGGGGTCCAAGGAAATTTTAGAATTTGGATGTCATTAATTGCTACACTCTGAACATTTTAAAATGTACCAAAAATAGAAAATAGTTATTCTGCGCATAATAGGCTACAAAGCGAATTCCATATCGTGAGCTCGAGGATCAAACTGAAATCCGGCATGGCATTATTTTCTGGTTTTAAAGATGATTGCTTGATTTAAAACCTCTCATGATTTTCGAACTATGCACGAAGGTTCATTTAAAGTCGGTAGTTTAACCATTGAATGCGGTATTTAGACTGGGGATTGAAAGCTGTTCACAATACTGTCCAGCTCATCTTTATTTCAATAAACCGAAGTGAACTTTTAGTGTCAGGAACACGGTGTCAATGTTCTTTTTATGAAGCCGGGAAGTCAAGACATTTCTAATAGAAAGCATACACTGTACTCATTTGAAGATTATATAGAAGCATTTAAATCGAATCCGAAAGAATTTGATATACTGTAAATAAATTCGGTTATGCACGGATGTCAGAGAACACACTTCTGGTTTTAGAACACAGATACTTTTATCGATCAAAAATATTATTTATTTGCACGATATCTGTTTATCTTATAAATATTTAGGGTTTACGTCTCAGTTGTTAGAAGACCAATTTGCGATCTGGTTTTCAATTTAGATCATTATGAGAAAACGCCCATAACATTGCACCATGTTCAGCATGAACGGTCTTTAAAATCACGTCGTCATTTTAAAGATATAGGGTGATCCAGAAATAACGTCAAAGGTGTTGCCATCTCAAAACTATTTGACTAATCATCTTAAAACTTGATACATATATTCCACAAACACTACTGGGTTAAAAAAATGAAATGAAAGTGTGAAATGTGTTTTTTTGCCCAAATAGTGTCCCATTTGTCATATGGTATGGTTTAACTTATATCTCTCACTGTAAGCTTTTTTAAGATCATGCAATGTGTTCCAACAATTTCCGTGAATCACATTGGTAAAATTTTGCAAAATATCTAATTTTAGGCATGTTTGTTTAAGTCTTGTAATTGCTTCGAAATTCAAGACTGAGATTAAATTATTGCATCAACAAAATTTTTAGACCTTTCTCTACAAGATGTAATAATATGAGACAATTCATGCATGTATTAAGAAAAATATAGCCTGTTACAGGGGTTCACTTTTTTGGACAACCCTGTACATTCCAGTAAAAACGATAGGTTGGCAGATCAGGAACCTAAGTGTTTGCTTGCCTTTCGTTTTAATCATTTTAACTTAATTGAAAAGAACAAAATGGGTAAAAGGTTGCTTACGATTGATGAATTCGAGTCTTGAAAACGTTGAATATAAAGCCATATTGGAGCGTACGTTGATTGTTGATATGAAAAAAACCTGTAATTATCAAAAGATCCATCGAGTTTAAAAACGTTAACAATAAATCTAAGAAACATTGCTTGTTCGTATTTATTACGTAAAACTTGACATTTTCTTTGTAAAGTGAACAATTACAATGTTATGCCATGATCTGACGTCGTATCATCAGGACTAAAGTACTGGGTTCTAGGGGGAGTGCGCGTCCCGAATAATAGAATGTTAAAAACAGTAACCATCAATTGCAAAGGGCTATTTATTATAAGAAGTAAATATTAGCTGTTCGATTGTGGCATCCTTTTCATTTATGAATTTATGCACTTTTAAAGCATTTTCTAAAAAGTGGTTGTGTCACGTACAAATATTTTCCAACTATGCTAAACACTTAAAATAAAGCAATATTGGCTTTTCTAGGTTTGGAAATAAGTTTTTCCAAAGTTTTAGATATTTATCTAGCGTTGGATTCAATGAGAACTAAAATCTAGAAAAAGCTTTTTTCATCGAAACACTCACTGGGTTTAAGAGTTAATTTCCTGCTTATTTTATTCAATCAATTTTTTCAATACAAAATAGATTAGGATGCCACTGTTCTGCGTTGGTGTAAATTATTATGCGGGGCAGCTAAAATTCTATCTAAGATAAATTCACATGCATTCTTTTTAACAAAAGGCCCTTCAAAATGTACTTTTTGAAATAAAATTCAAAAGTTTCACATACAACATTCTGGTAACATTGGACAAGGCAAAAGTGGTTTAAACTTTATACGGGACCTTAAATCTGAAAGCCGACCAAAAGGCTTAAGTAATCTACTTGGAATTATTATTAACATTTAAACCAATTTATTCGCAGACTTATCGTATTCTATTGTTAATCTGCTAGATGGTTTCACGTGTTACAAGTGCACAAACAATTTATAAGTGAGTGCAATATGGGGACATATGCTAAAATATTTATTTCGTTAACTGCACTATCACTTTTGTTAACTGGAATTCAATTTGTTGTGTTCATGATTAATAAGAACAGCTATTCAGGACCTAGGAAACAAGACTACAGCTTGGTAGTACACGAAGCAGCTAGGACATTGGCAACCAGTAACTATTCAAGAATTAGGAAACACGACGACAGTTGGAAAGGATATGAAACAATTAGGACATTGCCTTCCGGCGTGAGCTCAATAAAGTTAAGCCATACAAATGATTCTCTCGTCCCTAACATTGTTCACTACATATGGGTTGATCTCAATGGGACGTACACGTTCACATTTCTATATGCAGTTAGTTTTATTAGCGTCCACAAGAACTGGAGACCCGAGGAAATTATGGTGCATATAAATAAAAACAATCAACCCAAAGGACGGTGGTGGGATTATGTAACTTCTATTGTAACAACGAAGATACGGTTTTTATCCTACGATATGAGGGAAATACGGATATTCGGTGAAAAGCCCAGATATGTTGAACATATATCTGATATAATGCGATTACTATTGCTCAAAGGTATGGTATGGTATGGTATGGTACGGTATGGTATAGTATGATATGGTATGGTGTGGTATGGTATGGTATAGTATGATATGGTATGGTATGGTATGGTATGGTATGGTACGGTATGGTATAGTATGATATGGTATGGTGTGGTATGGTATGGTATAGTATGATATGGTATGGTGTGGTATGGTATGGTATGGTATGGTATGATATGGTATAGTATTTTCACAACGTTCCTTCCTCAAATAATGTGTGGTTTGGGGAAAACATACGACAAGTATGAAAAAGAATGTCTGCTCAATGATCAAATGTTGTGCATGTCCTACTCATTAATACACGCAAATTAATTTCACTATGATTATCTATTTAAATTGTTTCAATGGATGTTTATTTACACTAAGAAGCTTTAACAATCAAACATATCGAGAAGAATTTTCAAACAGAGCTCCAGCAAAAATTGAATAATGCATATAGACATATTTATTGTATACGTTTGATATAAATGCATTTCCATTGCAAGTAAAGACGGGGTATAAAGTTAGCTAATTTCGTTTCATAAGGCATTAAAGTTGAAATCTATTTTGTTGTATTGAACTATATATTAAATAACAATTGACCATTAAGCGCCTTTATACGGTAGAGAATTGTTATGAAACACAATTATGCAATATTGAATTTGAATGAGATCATTCATAAAATAAATACACGTACAATACTCTTAAATTCTGTAAAATAATGAATTTGAGTTAAATCGCCTCCTTACTGTAATATTCAAAGAATGTACAATTGCTTACTATATGTTCTGTAATCTAAACTTATTATGTGTTATAATTATGAGCCATGAGTGCAAATATTATTAATCTGACATTAATCCATACTGGTAAATCAGTGTATCCCTAAGTCATGGAATTTATTGTAACTTTTTTTTGTGTTTGCATGTATCGCTTTGACATATTTCATGACATCATCAATTATTGTACAAATTGTGAGGGAAATAGTGCAGGCGTAGTTTACGTCTGCACGGGGATAATTTTACACGCACAGGCGTAATTAACATCTACATTGGCCCTAATAACACTGTATGGTCCATGTCCATGTGCAGTATGGCAAGTGATACAAAATATGGGACAAATGGTACATGCATAGAAAAAGGATTTCATTGCATGGGTAACACATACCTAACAACACCCTTTTAAGAGCTGATGTTTTTATGTTATTTGAAAAATATGAACGCAATCTATGCTCTGTATGTGTTATAATCCGTGTTTGTATCACCACAAACAAAACAAAGCTTTGTTTTTTGACAAAAATCACCATTTAAGCTGTTTTGAGAAATATTTTCAGTATACATCGCATGATTATGATAACCAGTTTTGATGACTTAAAAATAGCACCATCAAATACCGCTGATATTAACACACACGACGCAGGCTTTAGTAGAACAACTGATTTTGAAAATATCAATTATCGTATTTGCCCGTATACTCTGGGTAGCTCCGCTTACCATACAATGGGGTTTCAGAATTCATATGGAGTATACAATTAAATGTACATTGAGGCGATTACATCATTCATAATAATCATCGAAAGAAAATATTTTCAAAATACTCGAGGAAGAAAAGTCAAAATTGTGGTAATTAAAGAATTGGAAGTTGGAAAATTGGAAAAAACTTGTCTAATCATGTGTATAATTGATTCTCTGACTAAAAATTCTTGATCTTTCATTCATAAACACAATTTGCTATATAAGCTAGGTGCCTAACTACTCATAAGTCCAGTGACGTGTCGCAAAAAGGTGGCGCATTTGTTTTTTAGGGGTATCGCGTGAATGTAACTTTGATTCCCCGGATTATAAAATAATATTCTAATTAAAGTTGTATATCATTTTAAAGCTGTTTCGATGAAGTTTTTAGATCAACTACACTCCGTTCACAATTCTTGCGCGTTCTTTTTTAAAAAAGAGTTTTTTACCAAAACATCTGGCAAATATTCCCTGTTGACACGTTACATTTTGAATTATTTTTCGTCTTTAAACGCTCATAACTCAAACAATATATGACTATTATACTTATTTTTCGTCTTGATAAAGGAAGATAGAAGTTTTATTTCAAAGGATGAATTTTAGTAAGCGTCCCATATTGTGACGTCATAGAGTTTGAAAAATAGAATCTGTTGACAGCGACCTTTTCTGCTCATTTTTTTGTTCCTTCAACTTTTCAGGTGTACATTAAACAAAAAATACGAGATCAATTTTTAATAAATCATACATGATTATTTTGCTCCTAAACTCTAGTTTATTAATAAATAGTTGATTTTGTTCGCAAAATTATGTGTTTTCTGTTGTATGTGGAAAAGTGGAGGAAGAAAGGTTTTCAAAATTCATCAAAATAGGGCTAATTTACGCCATTCGCCTATTTTCAAGCACAGCAACACGTATATTTATTTCACCTAAAATATCAATTGATTCGTGTTTTATGATGCTCCTAGCCCATTAACAATATATATATGATATCAGAGTTATTCGTCTAAAATGTTTTGAGATAGAGAGGTAAATGTGGAGGACGAAAGGATTTTCATTTGTGTACATTTTTCTCAAAAACGTCACATTCTACCATGTTAAAAGCGAGGATCCTCTGGATTACGCCACAAAATGTGTAACAATGCGTGCGCGAGCTTTTTGCGATACATCAGTATAATGTCAGCACAATGTCAAATTATTTAACAAAGCTATTCTTGAAGATATTGCCCCTTCTGAACAAATTTAAGCATCTGACCTCAAAATATCAAGGCACCAAGATATTGTTTTTAATAGAATCAGATCATCAGATCTTATTTTTGAAGCACATCTCCACGCTCACAATTGTCAATTGCCCAAACTCAAACATCTTATTGCAATCATGATAATGAAACCACACATCATGCTAGTTTTAATGTTCCCCTCAGAAATTCACATTTCAAAGATTTTGAAGAAAATTAAAAACACATGGACAACTTTTCTGTATGGTACACCATCGCTTCCAAGACGTGTCAACATTAATATGTATTCAGCCTAGTATTTCTTTAAACTCTTTGACTGAGCCGAGCCAAAATATCATTGTAATGATTGATGATTTTGTGAAATTAAATAAACTATAAATACAAAAAGGTTTTACAGAATATGTGATGCCTTGGTCACATATGCTCCAAACCAGTGTGAGTGTTTTATTCAATATTGTATTAAATTTTGAACAAAATACTCAATCGGCCGGGCGCCGTAGTGAAAATCGGAGAAAATGTGACCAAGGCATTATGGATAAACTATGAGTAGTGGGTTTTAGGAGGTTTATAGCTGAAGCCCTTGGCCCGAGGCTATTAGTTCTCCTAAGACCCAGTACTAATGGTTTATCTATATTTAACTCTCAATTTGACTCTTATCAAAGCTAAATGGCCCGTGATCCAATTTTAGGAAAATTTGTTTCATATTTACTATGAGGTAAGTGTATTGAGGAGTGGGTGTAATTAGTTGCGCTTCAGTGCGTTGTATGTAACAGGTCAGGTACAATTTTAAATTTCATTCGTTTTGTATTTAGTATTCGACTATTGAATTAGAGAATAGGGTAAAATTAGTTCAGCTTTAGTGCACTGCATGTGACAGTCAATCATTTTGGATTGCTCACCAAGTGTATTAAAAACAATAGAAAAAGAATGCACTCTTCTTTGCTACAACTGTATATTCTCTAAGAAAAACTACAGTTAGTCATATAGTGTTGCTACCTAAGTTGGGTTTAAGTTGATATATTTCCCGCTTGTGTCGCTACTATATATTATTGTTTTGTGTTTCGATAATATTGCCATGTGTCAATTTGTTGTAAATAAAACCTTTTTATTGTAGAGTATGGCGGGACCTATATTGACAATGACGTCATAGCTTTAAGATCGCTAGACCCCCTCCGGCATTATAACCATACACAGGGAGTGGGCCTGGTTACCAGTGCGCTTTCTAATGGCGTAATAATCGCAAAAAAGACATCTAGATTTCTCAGCATTTGGTTGGAGGAGTATAAAACATACGGCAAGAAAGAAGTTTATAATCTTTGGGGCCACTATTCCGTATCAAAGCCAAGGCAACTTATAAAGAAACACCCAGAATTAGTTAGAATAGAAAGGGATACCCTGGTAAGGCCAGATATGAGTGACTATAGGAAGCTGGAAACAAGAAAGAGGGTTTGGAAATACAGTTACAGCATGCACGTCTGGAGACGTTTTATTTATATACCTAGAAGACCAGAGGATATAAAACGAATATCAAACCAATCTCTACTAAGAGACGTAATGGAATATGTGATATTTGATAAGATTCCATATTATGCTCAAAATGATACAAAGCTAAGCTTAGTTTGAACATGACAATTCTAGAAATTGGTAAGAACAGTCTGGAGAATTGTTGAAGATTGATCACAAAGAAAAGCAAATCGCTGAGCAAATCCTGTAGAATAATCTTTTCAATTTTGTAAAGTGTAGAGGGTAACTGATAATACAAATCACAAAACATTTAGAGATGGTTTTATATTTCATTAAAGTAAAAATAGCCATTCAACAGTAGTCTATATACTGTAGTGTTTACAAATGATATATTTGTTTCAATAATCCAGTTCACAGTGATTTGATTATCTGATTTTTTGATTTCCAAAATACCATAAATTTGAAATTTAAATGATGTTACAAATGATGAAGCTAAATTGTCCTGGGTAAATTACATGCTTTTATGGCGATTGGATGTTTATAAAAGCAAACAATCCGAATATAGAATAAATATATATTTTTTCCCTGCAGGGACAAGATATGGAGTTCTTCTGAGCTCTTAATGGAATACATAAAACTGTTTCGGGTTTAATTTATTCATTTATTTAAAAAATGTGTGCACTTTCAATTCCACAATTCGATAACGAACGTTATCGTAATTTCTCGATTCCAATAAGTAAATTTGTGTTGCAATCCATAAAATCATGTCACCAACAAAATATCAATCGCGTCATTCTTGCTATTGCAAATTTTGATAATTCTCAGACATTGTCCACACATTTTGCATGTAAAGTGTTACATGAAAGATTTAGAATATATACATTCTTGGTTTCTTTGGTTCGCCAAAATGCGTTATTGGAAAGGTATGTTTTTAGGTGCACCATTTCTTTGCATAACTATATATGTACATGGTTTGAAATGCATATCCAGGCTATTTTACAATATTTTGCATAATATCGTGTGATACACTCGACCACACACATGTCCGTATTCACCTCTTAAATAGGTTATTGGATGAACCATTCCAAAATAAATAATTAATTAATGTATATTAAATAAAGATACAAAAATAAATAAATTTACATTAACTTGAATTTTGATAAGATTGAATGAATCTAGTTGCAAAGAAATAACGTACAACGTACGAACATATCGAATATACTTTCAATATGTGATGTAATAAGTTAAAGCAGATACTTTAGCGTAGTCCTATGAACAAATAAACCACAGTGAGTAAATCACAGCCTTTTAGAACCAAATGAACCAAATGAACCAAATGAATCTAAGTTAGAAACTAATCACTGTTTCCAAGAGTTAGAAAATATTATTAGAATAAATAACTAGCTCTGTAATTTCATTAAAAGTGTGGACGTATCTGCAGCTGGTTTAGAAAAAGGCGAGAAATATTTTTTGTTCAGATATTATCTGCAACCTAGTAGTAACATTCATATGCACAACCTTGTTAAATTTTCTTTGCATCTACATTTTTACTTCTTTTTATTGTTGTGCTGCTTAACCTGAAATAGAAACTTTAAAAAGTGATTTGTTCAATGAATGCGATCACAATATACAGGAGCTAAAATAATGTTTCCAGTTTCAAAAGTGTTTTTTTGAGTAGACGGATATATGTGGAACGCCAACAAGAATCACTAGATGGGCATGTTCTAGCACAATGTGAAGCTTTCAATGTTCCTTAATGAAACAACGGAGTCTATTATGTCCTATTTGCATATTTACAAACAGAGAGGTTAGTCACACGTATTTGAGCGTGAATATTAGGGAGGTTAGGTTACTCGTTTTTGATAAAGCTTGTGCGTGAACGTGTACTATTTTTACCCCGGGGATTACCGTCCTCTCCTCAATTGTTTTTTTCTAGTGACCCAATTACAATTTCTTTTACTTATACCTTATACTCAATTGGACCAGTAATTACTACCAAGGGAAGAAAGGATCCCCAGATAACCCCAAGTCTACACATTCACGTACACGTTTTAATAAAACGTGCAACTTAACCTCCCTATTATGTTACTCGGAAGATTATCGTCCTCGTCTCAATCAATTGATTTATTGCAAGTATTTTTCTCATATCATTACACAAGTCCTCAATTGAACAAGGATATGCCACGTTGGGGAAACTAGTCCGCCTGGAACAATAAGTTTACACATTAAAGGTCACGTTCATCACCATCAATCAATCGTTCAATCGCCAATTTTTTTGGCGTGATATAATTCGACTTGAATTTTTTTTCATATAGATGTCACCTCAAAGCCAATGGTTAAATTGCAAATATGCGAGGATATCAGAGCAGAGGTTACTTTAGTGTTAAAGGAATTGACAATAATTTTAAAATTACCTCCTGTTCAAGTTGCAATCATTTTTATAGATTACATTGATAGATTTAATATCATTGAATATGGTATTGCTTGTTGAGAACCACACAACATTACCATTTATCATTTATTTGAGATTTAAGCAGGGGTCCATTTTTTAAAGAAATAATCATTTTAAGAGATTTCTTGTAAATAGACAATAAATTAGTGCAAAAAGTATGAATTATTATATATCAAGAGCATAATGTAAAATTTCAACTGAAAAGTTAGATCAAAATGGAATCCAAGTTCACAGTGGGGGGTATACCTCATCAAACACTGTATAATTTTTTTAAAACTTATTGTTACAGCCTTATGTTTTTAATTTGCTTTTGCTAGTTAGGATTATATCATTGACCATTCGTGAATTTTTGTGCACCATACAAGGTTACAGAACTTCATTTATGAACGATTTCAGCAGGGGTCTATTTTACGAAAATTAAATATTTTTCCGGATAGTTCTTAGATGGAAAGCTAGTACATTGTTACGATTAAATTACATCATTAAGGTGTATAAATCATGAAAACAGGTTTCATCCTGATGTCTACAACCTAATTCGTACGAGGCCATGTCACAAATGGGGGGGGGGGACATTGGCCTCCACTTGGGGATCTTTATTACTCATATGATTTCAATATTACAATAATGTCGGTATCATTATAAACAGGCACTGAATAAGTGTAGAATATTATAAATACGTTGACAGCAAGAAGATTTATACAACTGAAACTGTAAAACGAGATAATATTTGGGCTCTAAAATCACAATGATTGGTATAACTAATCAAATGTTTACTTTTAAGGTTATTATCATATCCTAGCAATCTAAATTGTTTTAAATAGTAATAATTGAATTATTTGCAGTTTCTGAATTTTTCGAATATCTTAAAATGGTTCAGATTTTCATTTATTGAAGATTTAATTCAAGTCTAATTCAAAAAGATGAATATTTTTGTGGATAGTACCCAGATCAATTACTATTATTACCACCTTGCCGGGAGTGTTATAGGGGTATTAGTGCTAGTTTAGAAGGCATTTATGTTACTTTATCGATCTGAGCAATATGTGACGTCATAGGGGCGGGCCATAGTTGCGGGCCAATTATGCATTAACGCCCGGCAATTTTCCCCGGGAAATGACATATCTTTCAATGCATATAATTTTTGCTATTTCAGCTCTGGGCATTAACTGTGGTAATACTAATAACCTAATTTCTGCGGGCAATATTAAACAAATACTGGATGATCAGGAGCTTGATATGGCAGAATACCTATTCGAGAAAAAAATATTGGGCGAGGCGGCATTTATTAATTTCAATGTAGAGCGTTTGGGTTCTAGCATTGCCTCATGGGATAGTCTATTTTCTACTAAATAAAATAATCTATTACTAAAGTTATGTGCTTGCAGAGATAGCCTGTATTGCAAAAATCATATATCCTTTCACCCCACATCATATCATATGCTTTATTGATGTTAAAATCTAATTTTATAAATAGCGGGAATAAATTCTTAATTCATCTTAGATTATAATTTAAATGCAAAAGCCGATTCATAAGTAGATAATTCGTTGTAGACTTCAAAAGTGTCAATATCTAATATTTTTCATTATTATGGACCTCTGTTAAACCCCTCAATGATAAGTAAACGATAATGTTGACAGGTCCTCAACGGAAGAAAACGTATGTAGGAATATATGTTTTATCAAATAAACATATCATTTAACAATTGGCGGATCAACGAAAAACAAGATGATGTTAAAATAAAGTGAAACTAAATGGAACCATTATTTTTTATCATTTTGAATGCAAAATATAGTCAGACAGACGATCTTAGTTTCAATTAAACAGCTAAAATCAATATGTCATACTAATAAACTTTCCAAAAGCCGATAAATGAGTAGATAATCTGTTGTAAACCTCAAAAATATCAAAATCTAATATTTTTGTTGACCCCTGTTAAACCCCTCAATAATAAGGAGATGGTAATGTTGACAGGTCCTCAACAGGTGAAAATGTATATAGGAATATATGTTTTATCATTTAAACATCAAAACAATTGGCGGATCAACAAAAAACAAGATGATGTTAAAAGGAAATGAACTGTAAATGGAATCATTGTTTTTAATCATTTTGAATGCACAATATTATCAGACAGACAATTTTATTTTCAATTAAACAGATAAGATCAATACGTCATACTAATTAGAAAATGGCAACTTCACGGAGTAGCAAATCCCAACGAACACCATATAAATCATCAATCTGTACAGTCACAATGTAATATTTACCATCTACTCTTTCCTTCAATAAATATTTTAGATCATTGTAACCATACTTTAAAGATGACTCTAAGTAATGGCGAATTTCTGCTCTAGTCGGATATTTTGAATTTTCAGAGGCATAAATCCGAAAAACACTGCCATAATTGTGATCTACTCTGACATTCCTTCAATTTGAGTATAATATAGCCATACTTTTAAGAAATATAATAATTGCAAAATCCCGCATTAGACAGCCATTTTGAATTTTTTGAGGCCCGAATCAGAAAAACGCTACAATATTTGCAATCTACTCTAAATTGCCTTTCATTTGAGTATAATAAAACTACACTTCAAAAACATCTCAAAATTAATGCAAATTTGTGTTTCCCCCCCCATTTACGGCCCCTGGGGGTCAGGGTGAAATATCCAGGATATATGTGAAATAGATAGCTATCGTTAATATAATACCAATATTTCAAATAATAATGTTTCTTATTTTGGTTTAAAATGAAAAACATAAGATTTTTGCGTAAAATTCCTGCCATTTTTAAACTGGCGGCCATCTTGAATTTTTTTTGCGTATTACTATTCACCAATATACATCTTTCCACCAAATATGAAGAAAATCTGTCTACTAGTATTCAGGTTATCTTCCAGACAGATGGACGGATGGACTGACTGACTGACTGACTGACGGACTGACGGACGGAGGGAGGGCTTCACTCTATCCCTACTGAACTTCGTTCGATGGGATAATAAACTTTCCAAAAGCCGATTAATGAGTAGATAATCTGTTGTAAACTTCAAAAATATCAAAATCTAATATTTTTGTTGACCCCTGTTAAACCCCTCAATAATAAGTAAACGGTAATGTTGACAGGTCCTCAACAGGTGAAAATGTATGTAGTAATATATGTTTTATCAATTAAACATATCAAAACAATTGGCGGATCAACAAAAACAAGATGATGTTAAAAGAAATTGAACTAAATGGAACCATTATTTTTAATCATTTTGAATGTAAAATATAATCAGACAAACAATCTTATTTTCAATTAAACAGAAAAAATCAATAGGTCATGCTAATAAGCTTCCCAAAACCGATTCATAAGTAGAAAATCCGTTGTAAACTTCAAGAATATCAAAATCTAATATTTTTTAATTTTTGTGGACCCCTGTCAAACCCTCAATAATAAGTAAATGGTAATGTTGACAAGTGCTCAACATGTGAAAACGTATGTAGGAATATATGTTTTATCATTTAAAGATATCAAAACAATTGGCGGATCAACAAAAAACAAGATGATGTTAAAAGAAAGTGAACTTAATGGAACAATTATTTTTAATCATTTTGAATGCAAAATATAATCAGACAGACGATCTTATTTTCAATTAAACAGATACAATCATGCTAGATAAAAGCATGTCATGCTAATAACCTTCCCAAAATCTGATTCATAAGTAGATAATCCGTTGTAAACTTCAAAAATATCAAAATCTAATATTTTTTAATTTTTGTGGACCCCTGTTAAACACCTCAATAATAAGTAAATGGTAATGTTGACAAGTGCTCAACAAGTGAAAACGTATGCAGGAATATATGTTTCATCATTTGAACTCATCAAAACAATTGCAGGATGAACAGGAGGAAACAGCTTAATTAAGGCTTATCTGAAAAATTCCTTTATCCCTACTTATGCCTTGGTCACATATGCCCCGATCCATCGGTCGGCGTATTCAATTTTGAACAAAATACTCAATCGGCCGAGCGCCGTAGTGAAAATCGGAGCAAATGTGACCAAGGCATTATAATGAGCATGTCCACTTCATTCCCTTCTCGAGGCCGTGCTTTTTAACCTGACTTAATTAGAAGTATGTCGTACACGTATTAACCGAAAAAGTACACTTCTCGTTATTCAAAAGTTAGGCAGTGCCTTGGCTCCCGTTGGATAGTTCATAAATTCTTATGGGTTTCCTCAATCTCATTAAATCAGATGGTTAAGATAAATACATTTCTAAACGTTAAACAGAATAGTCTAAAAACCTCATACAATAAGAGAGTGAAAACGTGTGTAGTATGTTTCGATTAATAACAATTATAACTAAAAATTCAAACATCAAATCCTATATACATGTAAAAGGTGTTATAAAATCAAATAAAGGAAGAAACAATTGCATCCACTGACGCCATCTTTTAATGGATGCAGGTTGGCAAAATGTTTTAACAAAACAATCGATTTTTCACCTTGCGTTTGCAGTGTCGCCACCTAGCGGAAATATCCAGGCTGCGATACTTGAATCGAACGCCATTAAACGCTTGTCTTTGCTTGCAGCAACCGTTATTTCTGAAGTTCCATAGGTGCATAGGAAATCAGTGAACAGAATTCGTCACGAGGTTCCACCAAATAAGGCCCAACACTTGGTGTCACCAGGACCGAAATGGTGCCTCACCCGAGGTCTACAGTCTGTTAACTTCAATATGAGTATATTTTCCATATTTATTGCACAACAGTCTTTAGAATTCTTATTTTCTCTGTTCAAATGGTTATGAAGCAGGTTAACAGACAGTAAGTCCTATTTATATATTACATATTTTATCAGGTACGGGGCGTTGTATTCCAGTGAATTCCCCTTTGCTCGCTTATACAGAGTTATGTAAGAGAGATTCTTGGGTGCCTTTTTTAGTCTCCTTTCACTAGGACACAGCCGCATGTACCCTCAACCTTACTGCTACACCCTTCCGAGATTAATAGCCTCGTCGTCTTTAATTTGGCTCGTTGGATCAATTTCCGTTTGGACTTGGTCTCCCTTTCGTTTCCTTGAGGCGAACAGAAATGCGATCCCAGCCGATACGTATATTATAAAGACGATCCAGCCGAATGCAAACGAGAAGCCAAAGCTATGATAGGCCCTCTCGGGGTGCCGAGCTGGGAGATTGCTCTCTTCGTAGTGTATAGAGTTTATTAACACTTCAAGAACCACTAGAACAAGTGCAGCTGAAACATAAATATTAGATTAACGAGCATAAGAACACTTTTCATGAATTTAACAACCAAAACTCCGCTAGTTAACGTGTTAAACCCTAACTATCTAAGAATTTGTCAAATACATAATGTCAGAAAATGTTTACATCGATGATTTATAAAAACGTCAAACACAAAATGTCGGAAAATGTTTACTTTGATGATTTAAAAAAGGCCAAACATAAGGAAAATTGGACTCCAGGATGCCAACTCGATATTTTTTATCTGGTTAACGTGTCCGACCCTAACTAACTCAGAATGCTTTGTTCCTCAATTACAAAATGTCGGAAAGTGTGTACATCGATGATTTATAAAAACGTCAAACACAAAATGTCGGAAAATGTTTACATTGATGATTTAAAAAAGGTCAAACATAAGGAAAATTGGACTCCAGGATGCCAACTCGATTTTTTATCTGGTTAACGTGTTCGACCCTAACTAACTCAGAATGCTTTGTTCCTCAATTACAAAATGTCGGAAAATGTTTACATTGATGATTTAAAAAAAGATGATTGGATCCCATGATTCCAACATGATGTTTTGATGTTCAATTTAACAGTACCGATTTCGACGACAAAGAACGCACGGATGGACTGCAAGGAGAATGGCCGATAGCGATAATGACTACAACAACTCGCTATAACTGCATAACCAGTGATTAAAAAGATTTGAACTAATATCTCGGATTACTTCTTTGTTTTGAAATCTTCGTTTGGAAATAAAACAACTCGCGATTCAAATTCCGAAGTGAAAATGGCTGTAGTTTAATTTTGAATTTTGCAATCACGACATGACCCAATATTTTGCAGAATATCGAGTTGGACCTCTGAGAGCCAATTCTCAGTGCGTCTAACATAAACAAGTGTGGTTCAAAAGGAATTTTCGGTTTGGAATTTTTCAATGAGACTAACTTTCCAATGATAAACTACTACCCGACCGTACCTACACCGTATCGCTGACGAACCAGGGGTCCGCTACATAAAAATATTGCAGATGAAATTGTAATTATCATTCGTGATGTACAATTTCATCGTGATATGTGATGTAAAAAACAAAACATTTTAAAAAATCTCAGTTTCAAGGTTAACACGATGCACAGTCAAGTTATTGACGACCGACCCATGTGTCCTCTATTATTAAAAATGACCAGAAATGTTCTTTAAACTTATAAAAAATAGTGTGGGTCTAAATATCCGGTGAAGACTATCAGAGTGTAAGAGGGCCGATGTGAAAGAAATTATGGTCCCCCTTCTTAACGGCCCTTACTGCCCCTGACTGTGTATAGATAATAAGGAAAATAATTGTAGTTAAGTGACCATATAAATCAATAGAGAGTAGGACCAAAATTTGATAGGACCACCTACCCTTTTACACCTGGCTTGTGATATCTATCCACGTTCTTATATCTTTCTTAAGGTCTTCTAAAGTTATTACTTTTCTTGTAAAAATAGCAGCTATAGAAACCCTTACACTTGTGTTCTGGAGATAAGACAAGATATGTCAAGAGTTACCATATATAGAACATGTAAATGAATAACGCACACGTGTTCAACTAGCTGAGCAACGTGTATGGCTATCCCCATAGTAACTTACCTACAACAAAATGTGTGAACGCCGTGAGCCTCTTAAACATATAACGATGTTCTTTGAAGGTATATAAGGCAAAACCATTGCCAACTAGCATAATCAGAAGACTTATAACAGCAAACGCAGTCTCAGTGCGACTGTAATCTGGAAAAATAACGAAAATAATTGGCTTTATTGTGAGCCTGTATAGGGACATGCTATTGTCATAACAACGGGTGCATTCATACCAAAATGAGATGCCCGGATTCGTGTGGATATAACACTTTGAATAATGAGAAAAAAACATCATGCAAATGTTGACCGAAATTAGTGATCTCTAAATGAATTTCATGTGACAAAATTTGATTAGCTGGTTCAGTTTTTAATATTTTCTATCACGATATAATCCAGTATTGTGCCTTTTTGATATTCCAAGGACGTGCTATTTTCAGTATTTCTAAAACAAAAGCTCGACGTAACGTTGCAAATTACAATGTCCTAAATCTTCTTTGCCTTTTATTGAACTATTAAGAAACAGAAGAAATCATGCCATCTAACCATTGTCTATTGTAGGTTTAGGCTACTTAAGTTGCTTGATAAGGTTATAATTTACGAAGTAATGTTCTTTTTATTAGGGAGGTTGAGTTGCACATTTTTTATTAGAACCTGTACGTGTAATATTTCGACCCCCGGGGATTAATGTCCCGCTCTCAATTCACTTGGGACCTAATACGAATTATAATTCCGTGTACCTTTATACTCAGGTCAAGTAAACAGTACAAATGAGAGGAACTAATTATCTACAGAGGACCTTAACTACACGTTCACGTACGAGTTTTAAAAAACGTGTATCTTAACCTCCCTAATGTTTGTGTTACAGCCCTTTCTCAATTCGGCAACACAAACATATTACCTGTAAATAGCTTAGTCTTGCTTGCTTTGATTTGTTTCTTAATTGATATTAGATTGGATCAAACTTATGATATATCGAGGCCCTTTTAACCTCTTAAATACCAAGAATGACGGATATATCTGTCACAAATAAAATGCATTTGGAACCCAGAGCTACAGATGTATCTGTCACAGAATTTTTCACATTAAAACTGCTTTAACTTTGGCAATTTTTATCTGATCTTCACAAATTATGTTTTAAAATGTATGTAATTGGTCTATGTTTACTATTCTTATTAAATCAAATATCAAACATTGTGTTTTTAGATGTGAATATCCAAAACTAACAAAAAATGAAAAATGCCCTGGTTTCAAAGTCAAACCCTTTTGAGAGGTTGGTGTTCAAGAGGTTGAGCAATTAAAGTCTAGTCACGAGCTAAAGACTCGAGAGGTTAATCATATATGAGTACACAATAATATGGGTGTCCGAAGTGGAGGGTGTGCGTTGGGTTCAACCACCCCAACCCCCTGCTTTTTGAGTGAGTTATTTTCCCCCGGATGTAAAAGGCTTGAAGTATGATGATGGATACTATATTTGTAGATGTAGTCGCACCCCATTTGGAAAAATCCTAGGTACCGAATGCCCCAACAATGTGTCTGCAGTCCAGGGCAGTGAATTAGCAATGTTTTGAATACATATGTTTCTTCTGGCAGGTGCACATCCAGCCAAATATAGAGTAACTGATCGTCGTTGGCATTTGCCAATTTTCGAATAACGATTTGTATCTGGAATATGCATCCGGGTATCCCAAGGTCTCGTGTAAACACCTTTTAGCTGCTTGGTTATTTTAGATGCTACCAGCATAGAAAATACACGATCATATATGTGGAATATCTGAATGCGAAACATCCTGAACAATGACTACGATTGTCTAAAATATTGATGTAAAATGGGTAATATCGCTGTCATTGGAAATATTTCAACAGTTGACCACAGCTGAAAGATAATATAGCCCTTGCTTGGTTCTGTGAATAATTACCCTCTGATAGAAGGCATTTGTCCGACATAAGTTTTTGCAATAAATCGTAGCATTCTAAATCAATTTGGAAGACAGCGATGAATATATTCCATATAGGAACCATCTGTCGACGAATATTCAACGCATGAAGCAAATATACACCCTTTAAGTGGACAAAAATACACGACTCTGTCTTATTATCAAGGAATGTCTATTTCAGCATTTGCTAATGATGTTTCTACCATGAACAAAATCTGACTTCAAAAAGCACGAATTACATTTCTTCCATGTTTCCCGATCGGCGATCGCATCATGTTTGTGTACATGTCTGGAAAAGTACGATCTTTATGTAAATGATGTTCAACTGACACATGCAAGGGATCTAACCACCGAATTTCACTGAAGATAAGCCTGTTGTTTATAATTCTCGAACGTGTATTTTGAATAGTTAGATCGATTAATAAGATAAAAAATGAATAACTAGGATCGTCGGAATAATTTCATTTCGAATTTGGCATTTGTATTTCAAACGTTTTAAGTGGCTGCTCTGATTAAAATTCATCAGATCTGTTTTCAATCAGAAAACTCGAGTGGCAACACCGAAAAATAAACAACAAACAGCCACCAAAAATTGAACCCCTTTCGCCGTGAACAAATTATAGCAATCAAGCACTGTAACATCCATCGAATTACAGTTAGTAGAAACTGTAACATATCGTGTTTGAGCTTTCAAAAGGAAATCATAATATTTAACTTCCGTAAATAAATTCATTTCATTCATTTTTACAATCTCAGCTCTTACCTATTATAATTTTATCTACTTCTGGATCTCTATTGACCTCTTTCATTGTAGGAAACAGTTTGTGATACTCGCAGGATTCTCCTGAAAATAAAAATAATCCATTTTTTGTATTGCACGAAACGAAACGAAACTACCCTAAATACAACCAACAGTGGGCATGTTAAGTTACCGGTATATCACTTTTGAAAACTCAAGTGAAGTACGATTACCAAGGACACTTTATGACATTCCTAGGACTCTCCTAAAATGCGCATTCGTTATAATGAAGGGGACATTTCAATATACTTTGTTTTATTCAGGTTTCTACTCATTTCAACTTTTCTCACTTTATAGATATGTCCATATCCTTTGGAGTTTGCTTGTACTTTTTCCGAAATATCGGTTAATTGACTAATTTCCGGTGATTTGTTCTGGGCAGGCAACTGATTATTTTGTAGAAAAACTGTTTTTTTACCGAAAAACAGGTATGCATATACCTGCCTAAATATGTGTATGAGGAAAGGAGGGGGGGGGTCCATAGCGCAACATAGGCGATATTCAAATATATATTTTATTCTCTGGGTTCCTAGAAACATAGTAATTTTAATTCAAGACAGCAGATGTTTTATTTGTTATTCTTTACTTATTTTGAAATACTCGCTTTTCTCATCGAGGTAAATTGTAAATGTTATCATATCTATTTTCAAAGGCTTCTCTACAAGAGTTCCCAATTTGTCTTTTCTGACATGTGCTTCTGCTAAAAGATCACGGGTTCTCCGGAAGATGTCTTAGGCCGAGGCATTAGGGTGAACTCATTAAGAAACAGACGTACCGTAGAGTTGAACGATATCAATGGTGAGGCTTCACTAAGACGTAAAGCTCTTTCTATATAAAGTTACAATTAGCGCGAAATACTACGCGTGGTTTTGGTGTCGAAAGGCGCTTGTAAGAATTCCAGGACAAATTAGTATTAGTTTGAAGTTAGAGAAACTCACTCCCACGACCAATCATAAATTATTGTGAAACACTAAAATATTGTCATCTTGGTTCGTTGACTACCCTGCGCGCAGAGTCTAGTTATAAACTCTCTAGAAGAAGCAAAGTTATAAGATGTAAAAATGTTCTAATTCCTCTCATAAGTAGCATTCTAGCGACCATACTTAGAACATACATGTATAATGAGTTATCGTTTTGAAAAAAGGCATGACATAACATTAATGTTGTGAGTAAGAAATTTTGTAAATTAGGGACAAATCTAATTCGTCTCTAATTGTTATTTATCGTTCCTTTAAAGATGTCGAAATAATTACAAAAGTAATAGAGATGATCGTGTGGTTGCATTTGACGTGCAATTGCTCGAAATAATGCTCTTCAGTACAAGGGGCCCCGTGGAGAACATCCATAGCAAAACACTATCTGAACAATATTTTCCTCATTTCACATTTCGGTTGAGTTTTATGTAAGTGATTCGAGAAGTGAAGATAACTTTATCTTATCTATTTCCCGTAAATAGAAGATGATTGGCTGCTTATCTACTAACAGCAAGAATAATCTTGTGGGTAACTCATGGAAATAGAAAATGTACATGCAGGTCGTCGTGTTTACTCTACCGTTTCCTATTCTAGTGTATGTCAAGCCTAAACTCATTATAAACGCCATGCTCAACAGTGCTAATCTTTTATTGGCCTCATATTTATGCAGGATGATCTTCAAAGCTTCAAATGTACATGCAGGTTGTCGTGTTTACTTTACCATTTCCTATTCTAGTGTATGTCAAGCCTAAACTCATTGTAAACGCCATGCTCAACAGTGCTAATCTTTGATTGGCCTCATATTTATGCAGGATGATCTTCAAAGCTTCAAATGTACATGCAGGTCGTCGTGTTTACTCTGCCGTTTCCTATTCTAGTGTATGTCAAGCCTAAACTCATTGTAAACGCCATGCTCAACAGTGCTAATCTTTGATTGGCCTCATATTTATGCAGGATGATCTTCGAAGCTTCAAATGTACATGCAGGTTGTCGTGTTTACTCTACCGTTTCCTATTCTAGTGTATGTCAAGCCTAAACTCATTGTAAACCCGACCCCTTATTTTTTATATATGAATATGTTTATTCATACCGTTAAGTAAAATTCGTTTGCTGACTTCAATTTAGAATTATGTTTATTTCACCGTAAAGTGAAGCGCAGCTTCTAATTGGGCTATAGAGGCGAGGGCTCCCAAGTCGCCTGGATGAGATCCTTATAGTTACTATAAAGACTTTCATCGATATCCTGTCCCTTATATGGGGATGTCGTGCTACAAAATTCGAATTCCAACAGCCGCCATTTTGTTCACTTCAACATTTGAATCGTGAGAACTCACAAGAAATATTGGTTTGAATCATTTGAACTGTTTATTTTGAATTTATAATCGGTTATGATTTCAGAAAATAACGACATTTCGGCGTTTTCATTGTTGGAAAATATCTTCTTCGATTCTGGGGCCAATCCTCCTTGGCCAGAGGCCGAAATAAAACAACGCAATCCAATAAGCAATCACACATTAGATTGCGTTAGCTTTATCTAGCGTGTTATGGTGTGGACGAGTTCCTTCCTGATTTGTGATCATCTAATAGGATAGAGCTGTAGACGCAATGAGAAATCGACATTGTTACATAACAAGCAATTGCAAGTCTTTATCGAGACATTACATGGAATAAAACAGAGTAAACATACAAACTATCACAGAAAACAAACGACTGAAGTTATATCTATGAATATAAATGGTCCCATATGTGTCCGAGATTTGCCGTTTTTATACCTATCATTGAGTTTCTGTAAATCTTTTTTTATGACGATACTTTTCTAGCCTTTTAAAAAAGTTGCAATTTTTTGGAACACTCTGTATAATATTTCGGCCGTTAAACGAAGCTTATGTAGGTTACAAATCTAAAATATAATATATTTGATTTCGTATTTTACCACAGTTTGCCATTGATTACTTCTGTCACGCATTTTCATTGGCCCTTGGATCTGTCAGATTTTTTATTCTGTTATGGTGTAGTAAGGACAATTTCCAAGATCGTCATCAATCTTATATCAAGACCATCGACTGGAGATATAAAAGTGAAGTGGCTCTCCAACATTAGACTCGCTGGGGCCATACGTAGGACTAAATAACTTCTAACTGATTGAATATTTAATGAAATGAACAGAACTCGTCTACTTTCCTAAATGATCACGCAATGATATGTCCCATAAATACCAATAACTGTCAAAGATAGGAAAAATAGAACCAGATGAACTACAGAGTCTAAAACACAGACCCCCAGCCCTTTGCCCACAGCAATCAGCCTTGGCAAATCCCATACGTTGTTTATTCCGAACGGTGGCGTAGGCATAAACGAAATTAAAGCAGGAGATATGGAGGTTCTGGATAGAGAAACCTCAAATCGGGATACGGGATATACTTTACCTCCTTATCTCCCTTAAACTCTACTTGGCATAAAATAGATATTTATAAGCATCCTTCATTCAAAAGGCTTCACTTATTTTTCACTATGGAATGAAGTGATTAACAACCGGTAAACAGATTGGCCGAGGGGAGGTTTTGAATGAACAGGTAGCCGATGTTAAACCGAGAATTAATTCGTGAAGGCCTTAAACTGTTTACGGGAGCAATGATCTATAACCTCTTATGAAAACCAACAACTCGGAAACTCGATCTTCAATTTTATTGATTAGTAATACAAGCAATCGCGTAACTATTTTTGAATGAATTACGAAATCAAGAAAACACGATTAACTATCAACCATGAATGTCATGGATGACATTAACACAAACCTAAATAACAAGGCTTGAATCTTAATTCTTAGATTTCCAACGGATACGATTATAAGATGTGGCAAACACGTTAGTATAGACCTTTCAGCTGGTAACTAATTAAGTTCCACGTACCTATACGTGAACGTGTATCAATTTGGCCCAATTGATTACTGCCCTTCTATCAAATAATTTTCTCATCTTCTATGAACCATAGTTTGACACATTCACGTACAAATTCACTTAACAACGCGTAGCTTAACTCTCTAATGTATATTCCAAAGGCATGGGAATGATTTAATAAAATTGTTGAAATTCACCTTTTAAAGTTTGTGGCGTCCTCATCATTTTAGCTTTACTCACGTCTAGGTATTAGTCTACATGTAGCTACAAGCCTCTGTGACCCCCCACTTCTTGACTATACACATTCTCACACAGAAATTGTTGTAGTGGGGATGGGAGGGGGTCACAAAGGCTTGTAGCTAGACACGTCTTGGTATGTGCAAATATAAAGTTATCGAATTCTTGACAGTGTACACTACACATAAAAACCACGCTAGGTGACATTTTAAACATTTCATTTCTTATTCTAGGGCCACGTAGTGCTACTGCTTTCTGGTCTTCGAAAAAGGGTGTCGACTTTTGGCAAGCAACCGAAGATGCCTCAAGAAAAGCCGGAGATTGCCGAAGATTGCCGAAGCTTTTCTTTGCAAACGAAGTTGGCCGAGGGTACCACGAATGTGAAGAGGAGGTCTCTAACTGGTCAAAAATAGGGGCTCGGCATTCTCCGTCAGATTGAATCGGCAAAATTCGGTTGTATGGCTTACCTTCGGTTGTATGGCTTACCTTCGGCTGCATGGCCCAACCTCGATTGATTGGAAAAGATGCTGTCCCCTTCGAAAAATGCCATCGTGTTTAACCACAATTCATTTTTGTGTCATAGAGTTTTCTTGGATCAGTAAAGGGCGTCGGTTTAATCCGCCTTGTGAGTTAGATAAGCATGTTTTCATATCAGATACAAAATCACATTAATGAAATTCGCCAGGCGGAACCATTTCGCGTTTCTAAAGCAATACTTGAGAAGTACATATAGCATTAAGAACTATCCCCATCGACTTAGTTCTTTCATTATCTAAAAATAGATTGGTTCTGCTATATTAGACAATGCGGGGAATTTCGTTCCGTTTACGTTTCACGTGTATTTCACATCCCCTTTTCTACACACTTCACCTCCCTAAAATGTTAAAGCAAAGTGTTTCCAGAGATATGAGACATAGCTAGAAATGCAGTCAATTTC